TTAAAATGTACCCTAAAAAATAATTAATATTTTCATTCGTCTAGAAAGCAAAAGTCTAGGAATTAAATATAACTTCAAATAGTATATTTTTACCTTATAATCTCAATATAAGTCCCTAATAGAATACTCAATACCTCGAATAATTTAGTACTTTAATGTAATCGTTCCTAGGAACCATAAAAAAACTAGAAAAACCTAAAAGTTCTAGAAAACTTTTTAAGAAATTGGAGATTTAAAAAGCAACACATTCTCTTAGATTTCTCAAGCGTTTGGTATTCAGCAAAGTAAACCAATCCGTCGCCTGTGCAAACATCGTATATGATAAAAATAATAGAAAATGAGTTCGGTCTTTATACTGATATAAACATTTATTTAAAAGTGTTATAAGTTATTGAGGTCACGGTCGCACCGGAAGCGAGTGGTGGTACTCAGGTACACAAATAAATTAAAAGCTGATATTTACTTTAACAACAACTCGTGAAACTGTTGTCTATGATTTACGAAGTAATAGTAAATAAGTTATACGCATCTCCTATAAAAGATTTCTTCATTGAAAAGTTTTCATCGAAATATTTATTAAACCATAAGTAAGAACGCCTTTATCTTTCCATTTCAACATTTAAGATTAAAATATTAATTTTTAATTGTCATATAAATGTTTACTGAATTCCTATTATTTTTAATAACATAAGTTATCATAGATATTTTAGACATTATTTTTTATGTACATTCAAAATGATAGTAATGGACAAATTCTACAATAGGTTAACGGTAGTATCCTTGTTGCTTGCTTGTCATTTTACCGTTTTCATCATATGAATATATTTATACGAGTTGTGCTTTGATGATTTAGCTGTAACGAAAAAAAGGTAAAGCTACTGAGCAAATAACTAATAACATTGAACCCATAAGCCTTTATGGTGTTAATTTGCAAGAAAATTCACCCACTACAGGAACAAAATTAGATGTTAACATTTCAGGGTAGATATTGTAAAAGTGGATTTTTCAATAACTTTTTTTTCCTTTTGTATACAGCGAAAACCAACCCCGTTTCCGAGGCAACCTTTACAACATGATTTTAGAGGATTCCGCGGTAAAAAGGTTTGGCGGTCAAAGCTGTCGTCCTCGCACATATTTTTCTATCCTCCGGGAAATTTCTTTCTACTTGGTATTTCCACGTCTATATCAAGCAGACAAAGGATATACACACATGAGCACACATTGAAATTAAAAGAGTATGATGAGATTTTTTTGTTAGTATTTTTTTATCCTCTAGAGAATTATTTTTCACCAAAATTTCAAACCAACTTTTTGACGTCAAATATTCTCTAAGTTCATAATTTGTTAAAGTCGACGCATTTTTATTAATAAAAAAAATCCATTATGCTACATTATTTTTTAATCCATGAACTCTACCTAACATTCATCACAATGCATCGTATATTCCGAGTGTGGCTTTAAAAATACTAGACCAAAAATATCCAAGAATATAAAGCAAATCATGTTGTTTAGCATGACTTCGTGTTAAAAGCGCTGTAAAACATTGAACAGTTATTATGTTAATTTAAAATTTAACACTAATTAACTAACAGTTAAAAATAATCCGTCCAATTATTATTAGTATTACTACACGACAAAAATAGATAAATAAATAATACTGAAATATATCCTATTAAAGTCTTAAAATTTACATTGCCCATTGGTTTTTCACACACATTGTCTACGCGTCCATCAAACTTTCCACTTATTATTACCATTCAGGTATACCTTATAGTGCTTCATAATAATGTATTCCATATGATTATCAAAGTTCTTTAATCCGATAAATCTTCTTTTTTTTTTTTTTACTAAGTTTCAGTAGACATTACCTGTAGCACAATAATATGAACGAACAAGGATTTTGGCCTCGGTAAAATCGTTAAGCGCGCGCAGGAAACGGTAGGCCACGCGCACAGCGCGTTACACCGAGTGTGCGGAAAAAGTCTATACACCAAGTTGATGATAGCCGTGAGTTTCCGAAAAGTTTCGTTTACTTAAACATAATAATGGTGCTAAGGGTTATATGTAGTACATACGAGAGAGACCTTCTTACATTTCGATATCCGGACGACACGTCAGCAGATGTATCATGTAATGTCACTTACATTGCTTCAGACTTTAATGTGGAGAAATCAATTGAAAAACTTTTAGACAAATTGATAAACCATGTATTTTGGATGAAATAACGGATGGTCAAGATTTCTTGCAAAGAACGGGCCATTAATCTAAACCAATTTAACAAAAGCTCATTGATAAAATAATATTTGCATCGTGATGACCGAAAAAATCTTATGATAATAGTATATACATTATGTCCAAAGAAAACTATTTCGACCTATCAATGTCAAAATAAAAACATAGTAGTAATTTGTTTGACACAGTATAAAATCCTGAATAAACTGCCCATTTATTACATTTTATGACACAATAAGACTAAATAATTTGTATTTAACAAAGCTATTTTTATAATATTAAAATTTTGCAAAATTATAATCGTAGTGTATATTTTATATACCTACCGATGTACCAAAAACCCATAAGTGAAACCAAACGTATGATAAATAAATACGGCCTCCTGAAACTCACATGATAACTATAACTGTCTATTTTTCTCAACTATTATTATATCTAGAACAAAAAATGTTAATTTAAATCATCTTTGAATTTGTAATGTTAACTTCTATTTCTTTCCGATCATATTATGACCAAACCACCGAGTCCATTTTATCTACAATCGACGCTACTCCTATGCTTCCTCTTAAATATATTCTTTCCTTATCCTTTATTTTTCTCGTCATTCCACTAATCCATCTAAGCATTCTCATCTACACTATTCTCATTCTCTGCTCTACTTTCTTGTCAACTGTCCAACACTCTGACCCATACAAAAAGTTGGTCTTATTTTAGTCACATAAAATTTACATTTAGCCTCATTGAGATTCTTTTATCGCATAAAATCTAACCTTCACTAGCACACAACAATACTTGATTCTATGTCTTACGCATCCTCAATAACACTGTTTTTTTGTACAAATAATCCTAAAACTTTCCACTTCATTTATCACGTTGTCGTTTATTGTCATTACTTTTCTTGTTTCATCGCTCTCATACTCTATATAATCCGTCTTATTTCTACTAATCCTTTATGACTATCTTTTAAGAGCTAATTTCCACATTTCAAGCTTTTGGTTAACTTCCCTCCTATTTTCTTCTTTTAACACTGTATCATCAAACAACACCACGATATCTCCCCTTGTATTTCCTAGGTAATTTCATCTGTTATAGAAAATAGATAAGGGCTAAAGCAGAACCTTGGTGCACACCCATTCTTATCCTGAAATACTCGTTTTATCCGCACACGCAATTTACCCTAGTAACGTATCTTCATACGAACCCTCTAGTACATCAATAAACGATTTTGGAAATGCTTTTTTTATTAAATTCCACTTTAAAACCTCTCTCGGCACTTTGTCATACATTTTTTCTATAACTATAAACACCAACACAAATCTTTTTCTTTTTCTCCCTATACTTTTCCATTAGCTGTCTCACACAAAATTACATTATTGACTTTCCAGGGAAAAAACCAAACTAGTTCTTAGTTACTGATATCTCATTTCTTGTTCTTGATATAGTAATATGTAACATAAATAATTGATAATTAATATAAATCCAAACTCTTTGCTTACTTTTGATGTGTCATTATCTTAAGCCATTAACTAAGTTTAATCATTTGTTATGCTTTTATGGTTTCTAACTATTTACTAACTAATAAGTTTTCAATAGACTTCTATAAAACAATAGAGATTAAGGCATTAAATCTATTTATGAGGATATTATAAATATTACAGTGCAAAACCTAACCCAATCCTAATTAGTAATAATTACAAAAAAAATCTTTACACGTCACTTGGAAAAAATTAATTTTTTTCTGGTACTATGCAACTCGCTTACATGTTAAGGTAAACATTATTTACATGAACGTTCATACTTCAAAATACAAAAGAATGTTTGAAGTATTGTGTATGTTTTCCATATTAGTACTTTTTACTGATAACAATGTCATACACATTTTTATTTAAAAAAATAAGTTTTATTTAATAAGAAGCAGTACTAAAGTTAGTTTTGACTAATCGGCACTCGTCGGAATACTCTTAGTGTACTTCAAACATTTCGTTTTAATTTTTATGAAGAAAACATATATGACCAGAACGCCTAGTCCAACTAGTACAACGACAAATACTAAATACTTAAGATAAAGTATTAAGCTTGACATTTTATCAGCATTAACTGAAGTTCTGCCTTATAACACTTGTTCAGTCTGATGACCTTATCTCAATGAATATAAAACGCGCGAATTTCAATGAAATACTAACATATTACATTTAATTGTTGATATAAACTACACCTTGTATTTCAATAAAATTAAATTATAATTTAACATAACTCTTTTTTATTTAATTTTTCGTGCAATTGAAATATTTGGATAAAAAAGTAGAAAAATATTTTATTTATTATAACGAACTTCAAAAATGTTTCTAAGATAATGTCATGGGGCCAATTTAGAAATTAAAGTGATATAACTAAAATTTCTTGAAAGCATAGTTGAGTAAATGGGCGTCACCCCTATGTCTTCACTCTCAAAACATCACTAGGTAATTGTTTTTGTACTATTACAACATGACTAACTACTTCTAATAAAATTAATCGTAACTTTCAAATAAAAGTCGGATAGAAAAAATATATTTCAGTAAACTAAAAAAATATTTGCATTCAATTGCGGTCTTAATTTATAGCCAAAAGGTTAAACAAACCATTTATAAGACTTGGAACAATACGAGGTCTTTTAGATGAAATTTTTCCCGGGTGAAGAGCGGGACTTTTCACATAGACAGTGTATCGACGCGGCGGCAGTGGCACTCACGACCCCCGGGCTAACGGCTTGCACCGCGTGTGCTTACCTGCTGTCTGCCGCAGTGATCACCGAGCAGAGCCATGTCCGGCGGTGTCCTGCACAATTCCTATATTGACAACGCACCAATAACCAGCTAACCAGCAGACGATGCACGATAACGCAAAAAATAAATTATAAAAAATTGAATACTAAATAATGCCTTTAAAAAATAACCGTTAATGTAGAAAAATCATTTCCGTTAATACATGTAAATTTTCAACTTAATTTTTATAGGTAAATAAATTGTTTAATTTTATTGTAAGTTTGTTGTTATACAAATGCATGCATTTTTATTTTTAGAATTTAAAATTTTGTTATTATTTTTATGTGGGGGACGGCGGCGGCGACGACAGCGTCGGCGGCGGCGGCGTCCGGCTGCGATCTGCTGGTTGCTACTTCTCTGCCGTTGCTGATGGTGACGGTGTCAGCGGTGGCGTTGCTGCTGCTGCTGGCCCGGCGCTAGCGTGTGTTGATGTAGGCGCGTGCGGACATGGCGCGCGCAAATGATGCCTGATCCGCCGCCATGGTCGCGTCCGTCGTCGTCTAAACTCGCCGCCAATCAATAAAAATTATACCGCCGCCGCCACCACTGTCATTTCAGCATCGGCAATGGCATGTCTTTTTTACCATAACCTAACCTCAAACGCCATCGAGTTTATTTGGGTAATGATATAACTTGCAGAAATTTTCAACAATCGGAATAATTTTAAGCTTTGGATAATTTTTCTACAGGTAGGTGTACCAAAAAACCTCTAACCGCGTTGTTTTTTTGATATTTGCCGCTTCAGGACTGGAAGTTGGTGATCGAATTCAGGGTGATTTCGTTTCATTATATTAAATAAAAAATTCTCCAATTTTACCGAAATAATAATTCAAAGTTTTAATGATACCAGAGGCACAAATGACTATTTTATTAAGATCAACAAAAATATGAGACATCCAAAATATCCGAGTAAGAGACGCCAACGACATTTGATTTACCTGTCTGACTAGTGGCAAGAGCGTTTGCTCGATACTCTTGAGGTTGATCTGAACGTCATCTTCGACGACACATTGCTGTGGTTCAGCTGTTGTTGAAATTGTCGGCGACACGGCCGGCGATTTGGCCATTTGGCATATTTCCGGACGTAGTTGTTGGTTCTCGCCGGCGATGTAATACGCGCGCGCACAGTATATTAACTGTCCGACTGTGTTGCTCTGTTGCTTGACCGGTGATCTACGGCGGCGGGTGATAGACTGGGAGTATACAGGGCGCGCAACCAGCTGGACTCGCGCGACCGTGAAGGGATTGCACCCTGACCACGTGGTATACTTGTCGTTTCTATTGCGCCATCTATCTTTGATATTAATTACCAAGACAAAACAAAAAATATATAAAAATTTTACAACTGCTTGGTAATAAAATAAAAAATTTTATTAAGGAACATCTATAGAATTTCTACAACACGATGATAATATTCACGTACAAAAACATGTATTAAATTTAAAATTATAATTCCAAGATCGTTAAATGAAACTTCATATCTAAAGTATTAATTTTAAGATTTTTTTAAATTTATATATAAAGCTATAAGGCTTTAAGCACGAAGTTACCAGGGAATTTATTTTTCAAGTCTGTAACGAATTTTAAAAACTTTAAATTGCCATAACATTAAGTAGATGATATTAGCAAGTAAGGACAGGTGAAAAAAAATTTCTTTCTTTGTATACATATAAGAAAATAAAAACTAAAAATAAAAAAGAAAGGGGATCATATGCTTTTATGGATACGAAATTAATTCTAAATGATAATTTCACACATAATTTAAAATAAGTTAACAATAAAATTTTTTTTTAAAAATTGTCTAATTTTACAAGTCTATTTCATTATATAAGAAATTTTATTGATATTACTTATAAATAATTAAAACCATAAATTCTAGTTTTTATTTCTAAGTTCTATTAAATTATACAATAAATATAGATTACAGAAACTATATTACTATTAATTATACTTTTATTAGAAGATCATTTATTTTTATTAAAAATATGGAAACATTAAAAAAAAAAAAGAGAGAGAATAAATTTGAAAATAGTATAAATATTAAGTCTTTTGTTAATTACTATTATTTTTCATAAATTATTAATTTTTGTAACTTTTAGAATTGCAGTAAAATATTATTCTTAATAATACTTTATTTAAAAAATGTATTATTGTCTTATTTATAATATAATTTAAGTAACATATTAATAGAAATAATAATTTATTATTTTTTAATAATAGTAATTTGTTACTTTAAGTGGTTTGTAAATTTTATTTTAAGTATATATATATATATATATATCTTTATTATAATTTCAGAATTAAACAAATTTAAAAACCAATAAGATGAAAACTGTACAAAAAAATTGAGTAATGGTAAAAACTATAGTGAAATATAGTTAGCATAATATCATGAGACATGAAGTCATACATTTTTTTAGAATTGTTGTTGTCTTTGATTATGTTCTTCTTCTTCGGCTTCTAATAATTTAAGCTGTTGCTCTAGTTCATCATGCTCTTGTTGGAGTAATTTTTGCCTTTCTTCTTCTATCAATCTCTTATGATGTTCTTCTAACTTTTTCTTTTGTTGTTCTTCAATAATCTTTTGTTGTTGTTGTTTTTGTTCATTTAATTGTGCATTTTTCTCAGCTTTTTCGGCTTTTGTAGCACTTTTTTGGGACTTGTTTTGATTGGCTTGTTTTTGAGGAGTTTGATTAAGTGTTTGAACTTGTAACTGTGATTGATTTAGTTGAATACTATCTTGCTTTATTGTATTAATTAATTGATGATTTATTAAAAAAAGAAATCTCAAACCAGCAATCTAAAAAATAAGATGATATTAAAAGTTATTAAACATAACTATTAAAAATTATACCTCTAATACTGAATTATGATTGAGCCTGCAGCGACTACCAGCTGTTAATGGTTTACCATCTACGTATAAGCATTTTTTCCCCTCACAAACAATTAAAAAATCGCCAGTATTACGAAGTCGTATTGTAGCTTGTCGCCTAGATATTTTCCAAGCAGGTCCTTCGAGCTTCAAATCAACATCAACTTGCTGATACTTTGATGACCTCCCAATAGTAATCTAATAAATAGAAATAATGTTTTATTAACATAATCATAGGAAACTTAATATAATTAAGTCTTACCTCTTTAGATCTCATAAGATATCTAACTAAACGTCCTCGTAAAACTGCTAATGTTTGAGGTTCAAACTCTACCGGATTAATTCCAGTCATTGGAAATACTAAAACTTGAGCTCTAGGAAGTTCATCTTCCAACACTTTCATTTCTTTTTTAACTTTTCTACAATAAATATTGAATATTTGAATACAGGGAAAATATTAATACTTAAGGAAAAGAAATAGGGTACTCGTACACTATTTATTGTTTTTTTTTCATGAAATATAAATTGCTCAAAATTATTTATTAAATATTATAAATACTAACTTATTAGTTAAAGTAAGATGTCTTTCAAGTACTGGATCAGGCATTTCACTTAATAAATGTTGATCATTTAATAGTTCTTCACATTCTGCAAATGTAGGTATATGCTCTGATGTTGACAAAGTAGTAACTTAAAAAATAAAACAATTATATGTAAAACTGTTTGTAAATTTAAAGTAGTAGACTAATAATATATATAATTAGGTTTTATTGCAAAAAAAAAAAAAAGTATATATATTATTTGCATATTACAATTTTTTTATTTGATTGAAAAAACAATCAATTTATAAAATATTTAAAACAATCAATCAATTGTACATAGGAATTAATTGTTTATTTTTATCATTCACTATCTGCTTGAACAATAAAATTAACAAATTAAAAACTAATTAATACATTTTATGTAGGAAAATTACTCATTATGTAGTTTTAAATTGACAATAGCTTAACCTCATTTATTTGATTATTATTTATTGAGTTGACATGTCATTTTTAGTTTTGAATTAAGTGTCTTTTGTATAAACTAATATAGAATGAGTAAAATATCACATACTACTAATTTTCATGTGAAATTTTTACAAACAGTGAGTGAATGGGAAGAAAACAATTATAAAGACTTCTGATATAAAATATTAATAATCTATTCTATTTAAACAATACCTTCTTGTTCGTTATTGAGTATATGAATATTTCTATCTTCAATTGCACTCATTAAAGGCAAAGGGATAGGATTTTCTAATGCACCTAAAAATATAAAATATATTTATAAAAAATATATGTAATAAAGTGTAATTTTATTTATTTATTAAAAATTAATTTGACAAATCTCTAAACACTAAAAAATATAAATAATACAATTAAAATATAAAATATTTTAACAATTTGTCACTTAAATAATTAAATAATTTTTTTAAATTTAATTAATAAAATAACTTTTTTTTATGTAAGCAAACTTTAAATTATATATGCTATTTTCATTGATCATTATTTTTAAATTGAAAATAAAAATTGGCATATTAGCTAAATGACTTTTTAAGATTTTAAATATTTTAACTTTGTTATTTTATGATAGACTCTGTATTACAAAAAATACACTATACACATGTATCTAAATGACAAGCATTCTATACTCAGACTCTCAATCTGTTAAATGATACATTTTGATTGGCTGATAGTTGTTAGCTATGTTCATTCACATCTTTGATATTTTTCATTTGTAAGTAGGTAAAAAATTATAAAACTCTAGTAAAGATGCAGAATCATGAATGAATATTTGAGTTCAAACTGGTGTATTTTTAATTTGAATAGAGTATATATTACATTTTGCTATAACTTACTACATTGATCTGATAATAATGAATAACGTTTCATTAGTTGCCAATGACACATAAGAATCTTTGCAGTTCTTCTACGATGAAATATATTTGGATTTTGAGCAAGTAACTCCTGAAAGGTTTCTATAGTAGGCTGTGAATTCTAAAATATACACAAAATTCAATAAAAGGTCAAAATATTTAACAATTTAACATTTTACATACTGATTGTACTGAAGCTAAAAGTTCTTCTTCAGCAATAGAAAATAATGCTTTTGATTCAATATTAGCTATAGTTTCTGGGTGTAAATTTTTCATAGCAGATACAGCAAGCCTTGAAATTGTGGGATCATATAACAATGCATACCATCTTTGTGCTATTTCTTTGTGAGTAAATCTACAGCTGAATTTTACACCTCTATGAACCATTTGTAGATTGTTAGTCTATGGTTAAAAAATGACACATTTTCATAACATGAATATAGAAGTTAGTATTTGTAAAAAGAAATAATGTGTAATTAGAACTTTCTATCTTTTTAAAAATATAAAATAAACATTATTTAAAATTAAACAATATAAACCAAACATTTATTTAGAATATTAAATTTAAAAAAGTTCTAATCTTTGCTATTATTTTGGATTTGATTTAAAAAATATGATTTCTAATTTAATAAAGTAACTAAACAATTATATTATTTAAATATAGAGTATGTACATTGAATATTAAACTAGAAGTCTATGTTTTTATAAATTTAATATTATTCTATGCTTATACTTTTGTCCTTTCGGTACTTGTTATCCCAAATCTAGCTAATCATAGATACATTTTAGTCTTATTTCATGCCAACATAGATTTTCCTGAATTGTTATCTCTCATAAATTTTAAAACTAAATCACTTGTTACTCTTTACCCTTAGTTATACCTCACTACTCAACATTACAACTGCTTAATTGTTATATAATCCGATTTATGAATGCTGCTAAAACTGAAACTACTTTCTCATTACAGCTCAAAAAATTTAAATTATTTTCTTTTCATTATATATATTTATATGAATGAAAATAATTCCTAAATACTATTACTATATTGTATTATCTACTATATTTAAACTTGTAAATTAGACTTTACCCGTTATATATAATAATAATAGAAATACTTGAGTTATTATTATATGATAACAAATACATGTATGCTTGCTTATTTATTAATTGTAAGCAAATTTTTACTTTTATAAGGCCATCATCAATTTTTTAGTAATAACATTTTTAGTTCATATTTAAAGTGTCGTTACTTGTAAAACACTTTGAATAAGCATAAGATCATCAGTAGGTTTCCAGCGACCCAAATCTTTGTTTAAATGTTTTTGCTTTCTTGACCTATTTCTATATGAAGATGATGAAACAGATGACGTTGAAGCAACTGTAGCATAAGAATTTAATGTAGATGCATGTAATGACATTCTACTAGACGGAACTTTTCGTGGTGGAGCACTAGAAATAGATGGAACTGAATTTACAGGAAGTCCTATTTCAGGAATACTATTTACAGGAGACATAACATTGTCTAACTCTATAACATAAAAATTAAAATATTGATAATTTTATAATAAATTTCAGGTAACTGTATCTAATTATTTAACAAAGGAAAAATGATATATAATACAAAATAAATGATGGTTTAAATTAACTATCATGTAAGAATGTTACATTTTAAATATGGAATAGTTCTGAGGCAAAAGGTTTAATTTTTAAACAATGACTATTTAAAGAAAATTCACTAACATTTTTTATTAAAAAATTATTGAAAATTGCTCAAATTTTAAGAAACTATATTTTTTTTATAAAAAAAAAAAAATGAATTATTAAGCTTAATAGAATTTATTAATTAATTTATAAAATATTAAATGTATCTAATTTAAATTTTTTTTCTTTTATAATAAAAAAATACATTGATAGTTACATTATAATCATAATTTTTAGTTAAAAATAGTAATATATAAATTTTTAATATAAATCAAGAAATTTTATTGATTTAGAAAAAAAAATTATTATAATATTTGTCCATTAAATTGAAAAATTAATATGTGCAAGTTCTTTTTTTTTAATTAAAATAAAGCCGTAATTACATGTATATCACAATGAAATAGTTGTTCAAATAATTAGATTAGATTTACAATGAAAGTGAATAAAAGTTGGTGACTAGTACATAAATTACAGATATTATATTACGTCAAATAGTTTGATAGCCTTGAGGAATTTTGTCATCTTTTTTGTGTAATATCTAGATTATGTTTTTCACATAAATAAATGAATGCAAATTAATTACCTGTAGCTGAAGTTGTTAGATTTAATGATTGGGTGCGGGATCGTTGTGCCTTGGGCATAGGTGAGCCAAAGGCTACACCAAGACTCGATTCAACTAATTCATCGTCAAACTTTCTTCTCTTTATGGATCGGGAACTAAATTTTAATAAAGTTAAAACAAAATGTTTCGGTATATGTTACAAAATTATTTCGTTTACCTTCGACGCTTTGAACTGTCATCCATTGCTGTAATGTTACCATCATTAAGACTATGGTTAGAACACGATGCCATCTTTTAGCATACATCAACAACTTACAAAAAAATTATTAATAAATTTATATCTTATAGTTTTTGTGAATAAAATTTTTAAGTAAAATAGTTTAAAAATTGTATACATCAATTTAATCAAAACACAACTCAATACGTAAACGACTATTTGTTAAGATAGCCGCTTTGTGATACTACATAATGCCGCAATTATTGATACTCGACAGTGTTACCACAACATATTATACCTAAATTATTTAATATCCAATCACTGAATTCACATAAGCTAACATGAAAATATTCATGATATATTACATAAGTTTCTAAAGCTAAAACATCATAATTTAAATTTTATTAAAAAAGATATCAACAAACTTATTTAAATCACACTTGGATCATATTATATCTCCTCAACTGTATAAAGCTGTTTATAAACACTTTTATTAGTACAATTTAATATATTACTCGGTCATAACTAATTTTTCATTGTTCTCTAATCATGGCAGCTCAAAAAACTAATTTATTTTGATAACCGAACTATGTCCGGTTATCTATTTATTACTTAAGTACCATGAATGTAACTTCTTTTTAATTGGTGTCGTTTTAAAAAACAGTATCTATTACAGTCAAAATCTATCCTCTGAGGAGAATGATTATTTTTTATTTAGGGAATAGATATTTTATATACTTATATTTTTTTATTATCAACGACAAATTTTTTACCATGCGCAACTCAAAAAATAATATTACTCTACGGTGCAACTCGTATATTAATGTTAACAATTTCATACTTTCAGTGTAAATTTTCTTTGAAGCTTGATTGGGGGTAGACCACAGCTATAGACACTATGTTATCTATAGCCGTGGGAGATTTAACCCTTAAGCCTTCTCCTTAGATAATACGTTAACTATACAGACCAACATTTTTTTTCCAATTCATTATTATGATCTTGACACAAAAAATTGTTTTATTGTGACAGTAATGTTGTTCGGTTCATTTCATGTATAGGATGATAAATTTTCGAACCAAACATTGGATATAATCTGAATTCAATAATCTGTAAACAACTTTTTAAATTGAGTTTAAGGTGATTCGGTATTTTTGTTTTATAAGTTTAATTGGGTTCATTATTACAAACATTTTATTTCATTATACTAATAATGTATAATTAATCATTATATAGGAAAGAGATTAAGAATAAAATAACTACCTAAACTAAAAAAAATCTATTCAGTCATCCAACGGTCGGAAATAAAATATATTTGACATCTAATTTTAACTAGGTATTATTTAGTTAAAATAGAATATCTATTATGTAGCATTTAAATCGATGTGTTTACTAGTATATGTATTGATTACATAATGTTGACCACGGACAAGAATTCTAAAAGAAACCTTATATAAATATAGAGTCTAATTTTCTATTGGTAATGCATACTACTAACCTGATTGTAGAGCAAAATAAAACAATATGAGTTTGAAACAAATGACAGTTGAACTGTTATTATGTAACATATTTTTTTTTATTGAAAATAGTGTAATCAATTTTAATTAATTAATATAGATTCTACTATTCCTAATTCAGCTCATTTTTTTCAAAAGAGGTACGTACGGTTCTGATATACAGTGTTTAGTAAGTAATGAATCAGGTCAATTGTTATAATCAATTTGATTAATAGATACAGTTTCCTTACTTAACACCCCATAAAAGTCAAAACTATACTATGATAATATAAAAATGACATATTTGGACTTTTATAAAGATTGTATTATTTTTGTTTTTAACAAATGCCACAACTCCACCTTAAATTTTAATATGCACAACTAACGCTAGATAAAGTTTATTTACAAATGCATGCCTAAGAGAGAAGATAGAGTAAAAACCCTCTACGACAAAAATAACGCATAAATAGTATAATTTGGAAGCGAAAGTAAAATAATTTTCTATGTACACTTCTCTCTAAATACTAAACATACAATAGTATAATAAGTAATAGTATATAATATATAGTAAGTTTATAGAAAAAAACAGTCTTAAAAATGTTATACACATTGTAATGTGTTGTAGCAATATTTTGTTTAATTGTTTAATTTATTTGAAAAATAAATTCTATAAAATCTTTTAAAAATTAAATCAATTATATGTTTATACACTCATGTAAATTTTACTGAATTATGATAAGTAAAATTTATACAATGATTCAAGACTTACTTCCAGAAATTTTTAGAAAAACTGTAGAATGATTGTGAAAATGTAAAAAAAAAATGAAGACATTTTCTATTTTTATAACATTGTATAATACCTGCTATCTACAATTATTATACAAGTTCTCACAGATTTTCAAAAATTTTTAATACAATTTATAGAAGATATAATTTAATTTCTGTCCTCTCTTAAAAATAATTCCATATAACTATAAATGATTTTAATTTTTAGTCTTTGATAGAAATAGGGAGAAGGAGAATTAACCCCCTAAAGCCTAGTCAATTTATGCCTACGAAAAGTATGGCAAATAAATAATGCATATCTTTAATATGCCATTAAGTACAATAGAAAAAAAAAAAGATGTTTAAGAATTAAACATAAATTATAATTTTTTTAAAACTATACGATTAATTATGTTTGAATTCCAATGTTAGTAGAATTATAAATAAGGAAAGATAAATTAGTTGAACATTTTTATATCTTCTAAATTTAAATTAAGTACAACGTAATATTTAAACATTAAAAAAAAATAGTAACCAAAAGTTTATATCTTGTAATGAAGTACTAAAATTATTTTTGTTTTAATTTTTACTACAGTCGACACGTGATTTATATCATATTTAAACTTCTCAAAAATCGATGCTCTACCAATCAAATATTTAGCAGGGCATAATTTATGAATTCAATGACTTGCGAACATAGCATACGAATAATTATTCATTTGTTAAAATATTCCCATTGTTAAAAATATAAATATTGTAACAGTGGAAGAAAGAATTGTAATGAAGAGCTAAAGGAATCATTGTAACAGAATACGAAATATTTTTAAATATACATAGTGGTTAGCTAAAATGAAATCAAATACAAAAGTTTCTAAAAAGTAATTCGGTAAAACTTATAAAAAATATTTTATGCGCTAAATTTTATTTATATTCTGAATCAGAGAAGTATTTTATAAAAAAAATTTAATTTAAAAAAATCTTTGTTAAAGTATAAAGTGGTTATACAAAATTAAGAAAAACCTGAATTTCCCCTCGTTTCTAACAAAAAATATAACTTTTTGTTCAGTTGTGACAACAGTTTATCCGCTTTTTTTTTATTAATTATTCACACGAGATTGTATGTATTATATATTTATAATATTAATAATTATAAAACGTAGTAAAAAAAATTCTGTTTCAAAACTATCTATTAATATTTTTTTAAATTTGTAAAACGCAGCAAAACATGCAGCAGTAATTGACAACATAAAACATTTAATTAGTTTCTATGGCTTATGAGCTACCTATCATTGGTCATGATCAATTGTACTTGTTATAATAGGTACGTGTGTTAGTTACTATAGAAATTGTATTTTTTTAAACTATTACAAAGCAGTAAATATAATTTAATTTTTATGGAAATCTTCAGTTTTTGCAAATCAGAACAAGTTTGTGTCTAGTTGTGTGTATTTATTCAAGTGTCAATTTTTTTTTATATATTGCGAAGTAGTCCACGACCTTTTGACAAGTCTAATAACTTATTTTCTACTGAATATTTTACGTTGCTATTTTTAAAATTATTATTATATTTTTGAACTATAAAAATATCATAAAAAATAATATTCTTTAAATTGTAGACAATTTTTTTTAAATTTCTGAAAAATGTAAAAAAAATATATATATCATAATGGTGACTTATTAGAGTAGATCTTACGATCTTATGAAAATACTAGATAATGAAATTATTTTTTATTGCTTCTAATTAAATTTCTATAATTTTAAAATTTTGTAAAAGTTTAAATATTTTTATGTTTCTTTTACGGTAATATGAGTTAGTTCATCTAGTAAAAAAAGATAGAAGTAGAGCATATTTTACAATTATACATTAGAAGTTTTTCAATTCTCATGAAAAAAGTTACAATTTTACATTTCAATCATAATTCCAATAATTAGCAAAAAAAAAATAATGCGTTTTATTAGTACTTAACTCGATACATATTTCAATATTTGATACCGTAAAATAAATACATGTAAACTTTAATTTTCACAAATTTTTAAATACTACATAAAATTTACTACTTATCTTTTAATAAGATATTATTAAAAGTTATGTTTTTAATTGTTAGTAATAATTATTGTATTATGTATAAACTATGTTGTACTAAATTTGTACTATTGTGGGCGTAAATATAATATAAACAATTTTATTTTTCTTAAATTTACTCAAAAAAATGGCTATTTTGACATTTAGGCAAGTATAAAAAAAATATTTACTTCCAATGAATTTATTAGATTTTCTTATGATATTATCATAGTATACAAAAAAAATAGCATTTTATAATTTATATTTATTAATATCAAAATACATTTTTTAAATTCTAATATTGTAAGTTTTTCATAAGACATATTAATATTTTCTATGACAATAAAACTAAAAATGAAAGATTTAATTTAATTATACTTTGAGGTTATCAATAATTAATAATTTTCTTTGAATAAAATTTGTTTTCGTATTCTTATCGGTTGTAAAACATGATATACGAAAAAAAAATTACAAGATTTACTTTTTTGATCATGAATATTATTTAAAGCCTTACTCCCCAATTAGGGTGCTAAAATTTTAGCTTCGATGCGAAGCTGAGAAAGTATTGGTTTTACTATGTGTTTTTTTTTTTTGTGTGTCTGTTACCACTTTTTCTCAGCTCTCACCGAACGGATTTCTTTCAACGATATGTCAAAAGATCACAAATCGTATCTAGTCGAAAACATTACCCTCAAAAATTGAAAAAATTTCCCTCGTTCCTCGTAAATAGGGAAATCTCCAAAAAAATTACAAATTTTAAAATTGCTAATTATCGAAATTTAATCAATTTTTTTTACTTAAAATTGCCATAACTTTTTCATAAATGAACAAAGCAATACATATATTTTTTTTTTATAGATGCTTGATGTCTTTACCTATCATTGGATATATTTTTTTATAAATTTAACCCTTTACCTGCCCAGAAGGGGGATTCAAAATGACAACTTTTTCAACTAACCTTTTAAAATTGTACCGGAAAGTCTGACACTTTTATATATATCTTAAATTAAAGCTAATGTAATATACTTTATTATGGAATAAAAAAAAATTTTGGACTTTATTTTGTCTTCACGGTGAAAACAGGCATCAAAGTTAATAAAAAAAATACGATTTTTGTAAAAATATTCTTTTTTATATTTTTAACTTAATAACTTTTTGAAAAATGTATGGATCAACACAATTTTTTTATGAGAAATAATATTTTTTAATAATCCTTTTTTCATTCAACATACTTTATCTTAATCAGGATATTAATAAGGAAATAGCAGATCATGTAGCTTTTTAAATAATCCACTAATTTTTTAAAATTAAACACTATCTATAGATTTATATCGAAGCGTTTTTTTTTATAGTGATTTTAATCACTGTCAGATATCATTATACTTGATCTAACTATGCCACGTCACCACTGTGCCGCGATCCCCCTGTGCTGGGTTTTTTTTTATAGCTACATTTCGCATAAATCTTAAATACGGTTCTTTATTTACTTAAAAAATACTTTTCTGGTATTATTCATTCTGATTTTTGGAAATTAAAAAATGCAAACCAAGAGAAGAAAACATTTTTTTGATTTTTCAACTCGTTACTTTGAAAAGTAAGGGCATTAATTTATGACTGAAAATTAATTATCAACTCATATTATCTTTAATTGCACCAATGTATTTTAAATAGTCGCTTACAAACATACTAAAAATTTGTTAAACATTTTTTTCTTACAAATTGCCTAAATTAAAGTACTTTTATTTAAAAATGAACTAAATATAACAGAATAGATAAAAAATATATTATGAAAATGTTTATAGAAGACAATAAACAAAATATACTTATTTTACTTCAACTTGAACTATTATTATAATAACCTAATCTTATATGAATTTAAGCAAAAAGACTTGTATTATTTTTAACAGTCGCGTGATTAGCGGGTAGGCAGGACAGGGCCGCACCAATCCTGTTTTTAGAGCAATTTTTAGGTATAGTATTTATAAAATGTTTAATTTTCAAATAATGACCCAATAAAAATTTCCTAGAGACAGGTATTCAAAAATTTAGTGCTCGAGTGCATGGGTTGCCGCCTTCACAACATATTTTTTTGGTCCTAAAAAAATTATATAATATTTATAAATGATTAGATAAATTAAATATTGCTATGTAAAAATCAAATGCCTCTAGCCTCCCCTAAGTACGTCTATGCTTACAGAGACTGAACCTCATACTATAGATCCAAATTTTAATAACCGATTTTATCCTAAAATTTAAATAATCTAAAAAATAACGATAAGATGTAAATATAATATTGGAGTATAAAAATTCATTAAATTATTTGAATTACCAAATTGTATTATTGATTTCCGAATCGTAAATGGGTAATGAAAGGTCGCGTCGACTAATTAAAATTACGTTTATGTCATAGTTTTTTAAATATGTTTTATACTTGGAATATTGTTTTATTAGAAAGTAAATTTACTTGCGCTCTAAAATTATTCATTAAAGAGCACCTAAAACAATAAACATTAAAATACCTAATAGAAATATTAATGTACTTTTTGAATTTTATGTTAGTGTACATAATAAAAGTTTATATATGTATTTCAAATGTTTTAAATTTATTGAAAATATTTTGCAGATTATAATTATTTTATGATGACGTTAGAAAACTTATAACACTTAAAAACAACTTTTAATTTTTCTACGCTGAAATTTAGTAATCTTCAACTTACGTTGTAAAATGTATGATACTTTTTAATAAAACAATTTAAACTATATTTCAACGCTACAGAAATATTTAAACTGAAAAATTTAGAACAGTAGGCCATTATGATTAGTCGATAAGCCAACAATAATCTAGATGAAATATTTTAAGCGAATGTTCTACATTTGGAATAATCTGATTTTTTATTTAAGTACATAAACTTGAATAATATTATAGTTTGATTTCGCAGATATTACTATAAGTGATACTTAAAAAAAATTACTTTTTCAATTGAAGTATGATCAGTTCTAGTGCAAACAATACTACAAAAATATAGTACCGTTTCTTTATTACATCTATACATAATACATAAAATAATGATTGTCGATGAACTATTATATTAATTTCTCTATCAACAGATTTTTTAAATCCATTTTTAATAACATGGTTCTATTTCTTAAAAACTTTAAAACAGCAAATAGTATTAACTGTGAATCTCTGTGTAAGAATAATGCTACTCATTAATCAAATGTAAATACTGCAGCTTAATAATATTTAATAATCATTGTAGAATCACAATAGACATAGAAAATTTGTATAACTCTAATTTTAACAAGCGTAATACTTTATCTACAAGAAGTTGACTAATAAATGACTTTGTGTAGTCATTTGTGTAGTTCATTTTCTGCCAAGTACTTGAATCACTAATGCACTATTTTTTAAATATTGCTACAAAAAAATAAAAATCAATTATAGTTACGTATATCCTTTTATAAATATAAAGGGTTTTTTGCTTATTAGATTAATAAAAACCAACAAACTAGATATGTAAATAATTTCCTTTTATTAAAAAAAAAAGAAATAATAAAATTTTAGGGCATAATAGATAAAATTGTCTTTTTCTTTGCTTATAAATCCAAGAAAAATGCATTACTTTACCAACCATTTGTCTACATGGCGGCTCTAGTATAGTGATACTACAGGACCAAGTCGGCAACCGCTATTTGCCCACTATACTAGTACGTGCCAGATTGTATAGTACATTACAGTAATGAGGATACCAGAATCGAAAAATGTTATCAGACCAAACAAACAGACATGTCACGACCCTTGGTAAATTTATGATAAGAATGATGCCAGTCAGCGCTAAAGGAGTGAATTGTGATTGAACCTTTTTCATACTATACAATTCATAACACGACCAAAAAGGGAGTTGCTGTCCATTATAATTTAAGAAGTTTAAAAATTTTAAAAATAATTTTTATTTTTTTAGTATCTTTATGAAATAAATTTTAATAAAATCATAGTTAAGTATGAATGTTGCGTATTTAATATTATTTCAAGTGTATTCTTAACAACGATAGAAATACAATCTAAACAGCATATTAAAATAAAATTTGAATAATACTATATATTAAGCTATTCTACTATAAAAATCAATAACATTTCTATACGATTATAAATAAATTTTTCATAATTTTACGCGTAGAAATAAAAATAACAAATTATTTCGATGTCTTCATATTTGCGCCATTGTTTATAATTCCATTTGTAAAAATATACAAAATGGCGTATAAATTTTACTAATTATAAACGTTTTATGAGCTACAAAACGTAAACGTATATTAATATACTACCATTGGTCATCGTTATAAATGAATTAAACATATCGACGTAAATTAATATTCCTAAATAAATACTTGATGTGATAGCTTTGTCCTTAAGTTCTTCAAAATATTGTTAGTTTACACGTCATGACAATAAAACTTCAGCAGTAGCCTTCTAATGATATTTTTTATTTGCATTTAATAAAACACATAAATCGTATTCATTTTTTCAATGCGAATAAAAAAATGTGCAACGACACATGAATAAAGAAAACCTAATGCGAGTTTTCTTAATTTAATTAATTTTTTTTTTTAATAATACTAAACATTTTTTCTAATCTACAGTACATACCTTGTAAAATCTATGTAAGATACTACTTAAATGATGAGAGCATTTGTATAGTCTCTAATATAGACTTGAAATCAAAGTAGTTATATTAAAATTCTTTGGTTATCTTGGTTAGATTCGTTGATTATTAAAATATGGCTAAGGAAATTACATTATCAGTAAATAATAGAATCAATACATTGGTTCTTGTGAGAAGAGAAAATAATATAGAAATAGAAAGTGTATACAATCGGTAGAATTCTTATCAGTTTAGAACTACAAAAATGCATTGGTGTCATATTATAGTGTCTCATCCATGTTAAAAACTATATATTTCTGGACCATACTATAGGGATTGTTTTTATAAACACGTAACAAAAGAAACAGTACAAAATTATAAAACAATCAACATCGACATTCGCGTTTTTAATAAACGACACGCGCGCGTTTATAATACCAACTCAAAATAAAATTCACCTTTGTTACTCATATACAGTTGAACAGTTTGCTGAAAACAGAATAATACTACGTTCGTTAACACCTAAGAAAAATAAATAAATAACTGTTAAGGCACTCAAACATGGTACATATTTTATTGCCAGTAAAACGAATTTCCGATAGTAAAACGACGTACGATGTACCCATGATAGTATTGTAATTGTATTCAAATGACATTTTCAAGGTAAAGGGGATGTCGTCTACGGGTCATAGCACTTGTACACCTATACACGAACAAGTGATGTATTTTCTTCAACCAGAATGCTACTAGGTATGCATTATATTATGAAGTCATTGCCAATTTTTATGTCTATATCTCCAATAAATACAATTATTTACTAATGAAAACAACGATGAATTGTTATTATTTCTTAAATTTCATTACATATTTTATTATTATGAAAGGAATAAGGTAAAATTAAAAAATAACACATTTATGTCTTAAACATACCCTGTATATTTCACAACACATTGCAAATCAAAACAACAAGATTAAATAGTGTTCAATAATAAAATACCAATGACAAAAAATAAAAACAATAACTAAGTTATAATACCTATTAACACCAAAACTAACGGTGTAAGCTACAGCAATAATAGTAATAGTGACATAAAAACACCAAAATTTATTTTTTAAACAATATTTTCTAACATTACATGTTTTAACGATAAATTGAGGCGAGTGTAGTTGAAGTTGACAAGACAAAACTCTTAAGTGTATAATTGAAAAATATTCTTAAAAAATTAGGTAAATACAATAATATAGTAATAAAATTACAATAAAACGAAATGTACAATACATTATGGTATGTTTTAGAATATAAATAGGATGTTCGAATAACCCAAGTTCGTACCTACACGAATTACAACTTAAAAGTTACTTTCAACTAATATTGAAAAAAAAAAAATTAAATATAATACCCAAAAATGCAAAAATAATAAATATAAAAATATTATTTTTTATAAAGACCTGCCAATTTTATTAATAATAAATATGATGTCAAACGGGCGAATGCACACGTGTTCAAGAATAATATCAACACCAAAATGATTAGACATTTCTTAGTCAGTTTGATAAAATTATTTTAAAGATAAAATATTTAGCAATATATAATAATTTTTATATTGAAATAAGCTCACAATTTAAGGCACAAAAAATGTAATGTGGCAGATTTACAGTAAAAAATATTTAGAATTTATGTTTAAATATTTAAAACCTCACAACATAATGAATTAAAAAATAATTATACAACAATTTTTTATTGATACATTACAGTAAATAAAATATTTCATACGATATAGATAGATATACAATATTATAAATGAAATATGTATAATATAAGTATTGTTTAATTATTATAATGTACTAATTTTGAGATCGTATTAGTATTATGGATAGTATTATGATCAGTCTTTTTAACAAATAGTATAGTGGTACACCTGTATCTTAATAGAAAATCGTTTTTCCATTATTAGTTTTTAGCAAATAAATTTGTTTTAAGTTTTATTTTTCAATAAATCGATACGCAAGGTCTCGTTATGATTGATAAAATTTGAATTGAAATTAATAATATAACAGAAAAAAAATTCGTTCAAAAGTAACATACTATCTTTGCCTAATCGAATAATTAATAATAAATAGAATTACAACGCTCGTTCATACAAAATTTGTATTAATGTGTATTCTATAATCAAGTATAAACGCAAAATAAATGAAAAAATATGAAGTAACATTTTTGAAGAACAATTCTATAAATTTATAAACATTCAACAAAATAGTCTAACAAGGCCATAAAGAAATATATATTTTAAAACGATCACATTAAGTTCAGGGTATAGGCCGAAACTAAGTAAAAGCCAAACATAACCACAAATTTATAATATGTTTATTTAAATAATCGAAATATTAAAATATTCTTAAATAAATAATCTTGTTATAATATTTAATTACCAAATAAAACATAATTAATATATCATTGGAATGTTAACAAAAGTATATTAAGATAGCTTATTGTTTCATTAAATTGACCGATATCTTAGCGAAATTAAATATTCATACTATTTATAATTAAATATATTTTTACGATTTTTAAACGCGTAAACAAAAATAATACTTATAGTATCAATATATAAAGAAAAATATATATTTCTACTAAATTAATTTTTGTTTAATTTCATTTATAATACGTTATGATTTTTAACTTATATTTAACTTGTTTGTTTTAAAATCACAGTCAATTATAACAATATTAAATTCTGGAATGTTTCATTCAATTATTTATTAATGGAGCGTTTCTGTATCTAGTTCCTAAGAAAACCATTATTTCAATTAAATTAACTGACTAGGAAAAAATTAAAAATTGGTATATAAATTAAAAGAAAAAAAATTTAAAAGACTGATTTATTATGATAAATATGAAAAAGAAGGCCAAAATACTATTTCATATTTCATTATGATGCATCTTGTATAACGAGGACAATATTATGATATGTAAAGATAAATATTGTAATTATTTTCAAAAAACTACAAGAACTATTTTTTCCAACGAATATTATCATATAATTGAAATTAATATAGATGAATTGTGTTAACATCTATAAGAAATTGCAAAAGTGTATTAAGATTTTTCTTATATCAATGTTCAATAATAAAATAATTCATTCTTTTTTTAATATTAAAACTGAAGATGCGTACGATATTCAATAGTCGGCGTTTTTAAAATAAAAAATTATTAGCATAATAAATAAATTATAATTAATTTTGATTAATTTTTATCAAAAATAATTCCTAATTAAATTTACAAGAATATATCATCAAATATAAGGTCATTTTTTACCCATTTTGCCAATTAACATACTTAAAAAATTTAATAAGTTTTTGCTTTGGTTCGTAAAATAACTACAAATATATTAACTAGTTCAAAAATATCTTTGGTCAATGTAAAGCCCATGTTTTTTTGTACCCATAAAATATTAATTAACAACAAAAAATTAAAATTAAACTAAAACAAATAATCTAACATCAACAACAAATTTATAATCACCAACGAAATAAAGCGAATAAATATTTCAATAAAATAAAACAATAAATAAAGTATAATAATGACTAAAAAGGATTTGTTAATGATTGTGTGTGTATAATACAAAATAAATTATTACTTAACAAAAAAAATTGTTATAGTGGAACAACAATCACAAAAATATGTGTTTTGGAAAATATAACAATTGAATAGAAAAATCATGATAATCCGTTTCAAGGTCCGAAATTATTACTGGTAACATAATATTAACGTTATCCCGCTTAATTTTTTCCCACTGGTTCGAGGCCTGAAAAAAACCGCATACACAATTAAATAAATTGGAAGCCAAGCAAACATCGGTATAAATTATGAAGGACATTTCACATACCTGATTACGCATATCGAGCTTTTTTTGTCGGTACCATCACTGTATTAGCGTCAGCAGACTCGTCAGAAGAAATAGGAACAATTTGTTTCAGATTTAGAGTTTTGACTCCTGAAAGAGCCATTTCATCTAGTTTTGGATTTCTTTCTATCATAACCACCAAACATCGTCGATAAGTTTCTCTGTTGTCGTCACTGTCGTCACCCCTATCCATGTCTAAGTCACTTCCACTAACGTGACTAGTATAGTTGTCATGACCGCTGCGTCTTATAACAATTTTTGGAAGTTGTCTACTAATACTACTACAGTCTGAGTCCGAGGAGGAAGAAATACTATGTCGCCTTGGACTAGTTGAAGCTTTTCGTAACACTAATCGTTTTACACTTACTACTGACTTAGATGGTGCCTGTGAATGACATGCGGCTACTTGCCATTCACTTGGTGTTCGACAAAGCCGTACTTCTACTTTAGCTGGCCCTAATTCCAATTTTGTATCTCTATTCCCTTTTCTCATATTGTTTTGATTATTAAGGTTGAATATTCGTCCCCAAGGTAATTGAACCTTTATTTTACAATTTGGCATCAAAGTAGTTATTGGAATATTATCAATTGTATTAATAGTTTTATATGTTTCAGAACATTTACCAAGTAATTTTTTGAATCCATTTTTTTTTAGTTTAATATTTTTTCTTTTCCTCTTTCTTCTTTTACTTTCGTAAATTCTATGAACTATCCATCTCACATTACATTTGTCACGTAAAGTTACACGAGTTTTAGCGAATTTTGAAATAGTTTTCCGCAACACATTCTTATACTCAATTTCTAAAGATTTATCCCAATAATCTATAGAGCCACCTTTCAATGAACTGTCTGAAGCATCATTAGGTAAAGAAAAATCATTCAATGGTGATGGTACTGGTGTTGATAAGTCTGAGTAGTAACTTTCAAGATTGTCTGTTATTTCTCTAATGCACTCGTTTACAACAATTGATAAATTATCTTCATTCCATTCTGTAATAGGCGAATTTTCATAATGTTTATCCTTACTATAAGTAATAACGTCAGGCAAGCAAATTTTGCCATTTGATTGAGTTGTTATAACAGGATCATCTGTATTACAAAGAGAAATTTTATCATTCTCTATTATATAGTCTTTTAATTCTTCACTTTTTGTAACTATTTCAGAAAATGATAAAGGTCTCTTTTTCTTATAGAATTTACGACCTATAAATTCACTATTTATTGGTTGTTCTACTTTTTTGTCAGCCAATACAGTTTTGGTGTCGAATATGTTTTTTTTTATCATATTTTTACATTTTAACATAAATTTAATTCGTGGCGTTTCTACTTCATTAGGCCTATAAGTGTTGTACCCACGGGTCGTTTTAAATATTTCCTCTGGCTTAGATGGTTCAACCACATGAATAATTTCTTTTATTTCAGCGTTAGGAGTAGATCTTATAATATTAACTACAGAAGTTTTTGCCGATTTAGTATCTTCATTATTTATTGTGTTATTTGTGTCAGTCTCACAACTTTCTTTATCATTGAGTTGTTCATTTATCCCTTTTTCAATCGATAAATTGCATTTGGAATTTATTTTATTTTTAATACATCTGAATAAGTGAAATTGTTCATCATTATTATTCTCTAATACAGTATTAGAAGTAGAATCTAATTCACCATGTTTCTCAAAATCAATATTAGTTGATATTTCTGAAGGAAACAAATCAACTATTTTTAATTTATTCTCATCTGTTTTTTTTTTATCAATAATGCTGTTATTTGTAGTGGTTGAATTTAATTCATTTTCTCCTTTGTTGTCTAATCTATAATTTATATTATTATCTGAATCAAAATTTTTACAGTTGTCAATGATTAATAAATCTAGATTTTCATATATTATATTCAAGGTCCGCTTGATTTCAACTTCAACTTCAAGTTCGTCAAACTGATTATTATCGTATGAATATTTATCATCTTCAGACTTGGTAAACTCAATGATCTCATTTGGTTTGTATACAATTGTATCATTAGAATTTTCATCATTACTAGAGATACTACTAAATTTACCAGTTTTTTCATTCAATTTTATTTTCTTAAATTTCTTGTTGTCGTTACATACTTCAATCAGATCCGTTTTCCTTAAACTGGATGAACTTAAAGATTCGTATGGATATATAATTTCTAAACTATCGTTACTATTTATTTCCTCCGGGTCACTAGAAACCTTAGTTATATCAGTTAAATCAATTATTTCCAAATTATTTTGATTAATATTCTGTAAATTTATAATATCTGTTTTATCGTCAGATTCAATTTCAGATTTTTTTTTTACTATCTCATCTGATTTATTATCAACAATTTCAATAGTGTCATTTTGTTTATACGAAGGGATAAATTCAGCAGTTTTCTTTGTATTATAAGGAAAGCTGTTGATTGAAGACGATTCATGACTCTGATTATTATTTTTACTTTGTAGGAATTCATGTATTTCAATAATACCTCCGTTTTCACTTTCTATACTTATAACTTTAATATCATTTTTTGATATGCCTGCTTCGTCTTCTTTCGATTTATTACAACTATCATCAGTTTTTGAACCACAATCTTTATTTGACGATTCAAAACTAACGGAAACTTCATTTTTATTAGAATTATCATTTGATTTTAAACTCAATTTGGGATCAGTAATTACTTTATTAATTTCAGAATGTTGATCTAAATTATTAGATTTACAATAATTATTTTGGTAATTGTCTAATTTACAATTCAAATTTGTGTCAATTAGCAACAATGGACTCGATGACGGAGTTGAAAACTTCAATATATTACTATTATCGTCCTTAGACACAAAAGAATCATCAATTTTACTATCATCACTCTTGATTAAACTGTTATCTAAGTTGTAACTTTCATTAGTTTTAATGTTTAATTCAGGCTGTATTACTGTAGACACATCATTAAGAATACTTTGTGTAACTTTGTCAGCAATTAGATCAAGATTACTTCGAATTTCTACTTGGTAGTCAAAATTAATCAAACCCTCAGTTTTTTTACTATCAGATATTTGAGTATTCGCAGGACTTAATTTAATTTCACTATTTAAAATTTGTTTAATCAAATAATTCGGTTGATATTCATTATTAAATGATGACTGAGTAATATTATTTGAAGAGTGCATTTCATTTACAGAAGTATTATTAGAAGAATCCAAACTGTCTACATTATCTTTGCCAATTTGGTCGTTTACTCTTTCCTCTAAACACTTATCTACAATATCTTCATGGAAAGATTCAGTAGTTCTTGTACTGCTACAGTGAATATCAAATCCAAAGGATGTGTCAAATTCATCTAATGCTTCACGATATCTTTGATTGCTGCCTTTGGTATTATTGACACAGCAATTCAAGAAGTCACTTGATGAATTTTTCTCTGTCTCAATATTTTTTTTTTCAGTTATATTCGAGGGGTCTACATTTTCTAATAATGTTACACTTTCCTTATTTTGTTGATGTTCCAAAATTATATTAGTTTCTAAAATTTCTTGCTGATTATTTTTAGGTTGTGCATTTTGGATGTCACATTGAGCAACAGAATTTCCATTACCGGCAGAATTATCTTTAAATACATACTTTTCCGACCACATATCATAATGGTTGGCCATAATATTACTTTTTAATTTAGCCATTATATCCGAGTGGTTTAAATGATTTGATGAATTTACTCTTGTTGCATTTTCTAATTTGTTGTTATTAGTATTATCATTATTAGAAGTAATAAGTTTTTTTTGTTTAATGACTGTGTACATTTGACTAGGATCCCGTAATATTGGTTTTACAACGTTAAGTTTTTGAGGCATGGCCATTGGAGCCAGAGGTTCTTTGTCTTTGAAACTAGGTAATCCAACCGAATCAAATTTATGAAGTTGATCATTTTTTGATTTTGTTAGATCAATTGTAGATATAGACTTTGGATCAGTTATTTGTTCAAATATAGAACCATCAGCTCGGTGTTCATTATTTTCAGAATTTTTTTGATGTAAATAATCAGATTGTTCAGGGGTTACAAGTAATTCAAAACTATCATTAAAATCGGGTATCTGATTATTTAAATTAAAAACATCTCTAGAACACTCATTAGACATTATTTGATTGTGCTCTGAATAGGGTTCATTTGAATGCGACATTCTATTTTCATTTTCAGGGTTACATTTATATTGATTAGCTTCAGTAAAAGCCATGTTTTGATTAGAAAATAATCTATTTCCTTGTTCGTTATCTTTTTTATCAATATTTACTGAGTTACCATAAGTATCAATGTAATTCCAGCCATCAAAAAACGAATCTTGACTAGAATTAGGTTTAGATTTTACATTCATATCTATTTCATATTGGTTATTTTTCCATTGTTGAATTGGACAATTTTTATTTGGACTCATGTTGTTTAAAACATTATTATAATTATTTTTTTCATAATAACACGATGATTCTTCAAATGAATTGTTATTATTTTTTGTAATATTAAGATCATTTGTTAAATTCCAATTTAAGTTTTCGTACTCTGAATGCACAGCAACTTTTTCATTTCTATTTTTGTCGCAGCCCGTTCTCTGTATTACACTTTCATGAAATCCATTATACTCTTGTCTGGTAATATGTGAGGAAACGATGACTGGAAAATTTCTATTAGTAGAATCAATTCTAGTTTCTAAAATGTGTTGACCTAATGTAGGTGATGGAGTATAGCCGATATCATTTACCTTATTAAACTGGTTGGTTCTATTTTCATCTATATTTTTGTCATAAGTGTAAGGATTATTTTTATGTTCATCTGTTAAAGCAGAAAAATCAAGCGGTTTAGCTATAACACTGTGATCATAATGTGACATATGAGGTTCTTGAGGACTTTGATTTATATCCCAAGTATTTGCTTCGGGATTGCCATGGTTAAAATTAGACCATTTCCGACTTTCATTTTCAACAATACATGAAGTGTTGGAATATTTTATAATAGGAAGTTTATTATTTTCATGTGAAATTGACGGTTGAATTCTAGTTGATTGATTTAAGTAATCATTTTTAGTATAAGGATTGGGTTCATTATATTTATCATAACGTTGTTGATAGTAAAACATTTGCTGATTTTGATTTAAATGAGACGAATATCTTGAAGTGTTATCATTAGTTCGACTAGGTTGAGTATTTTGATTTGAATACGACTCTGATTCGAAAGAATTCGTTTCACTCAAAGATTTGTTTTTGTTGAAAATTCTTTCAGCTAATCTTTCAATTATTTCTGTTGAACAAACTCCAGTGTTTTTTTTTCCATAGCCAGAGGATTTACGATCAAAATTTGCATTTGAATAATTTTTTTCTGAAGACCTTAGTAACTCCGATTCGTCTTTTTGTTCCGTATTAAAAGGTTTAATAATTCCAGTTTCACGTTTAGTATAATCGATCGGTTCAAAATTAGATTTAGAGTTTTTAGGGATTTTCGAAGCTAAATCAATTTTATCGGGTTCTGAATTAAGAATTAATGAATTTGGATTCTCTTTTAAAACTTTTTCAAGATTTTCATAAGTTACAACATTTAATTTTTCTTGAACTTTCGCTAAAGCATCGCCTTCTAACGGCATACAGTCCAATACTACAATGGGAGGTGTAGATTCTAATGACTTTTCACAGTTGTCATCTTCTCCTTCGTCCCATGTAGCTAAAAATTCACGCACATTTAAATTACTTTTTAATGAGTTAGATGATCCTATATTATCTGTTTTACTTGGTTCATTTGATTTTAGAAATTCTTGATATAGTGGTTGATTATTATAATACTGTTGTATATTTGATGCAACTTGATTATTTTGGGTTGGTAAAGGGACTCGGCCACAGTTGGATTGAGTTTTATAATCTGATACGTTATTTTTAAATGCATTATGATAATAAGGTGACCTGTAATTATGTACATTATGCATAGATGGTGGTGGCATAACATAATTATAAGGTTTATGGTGCGATGATACACCAGCTGGGTTTGAAACACTTTGGTAATTTGTAGATAGTTTTTGGTAATTTTTTTCTCTGTCATAATCGCTTTGAACACCAGAGTAACGATTATTTGAATGCAGTCTGTCAGACCAATTTGTATTAGAATTATGTGGAGAAATCCATAAGTTACTATTTGAATGAGTGGGGGGACAATAACTAGAATTACTTATATAAGAGTTATTATATTTTTCTTGGTAACAATTTTGCGTATTATATTTTATAGGCAATTCGTTTGGAATATAGGGTAGGAACTGTTCATTACAAGGTTTTGATGTTTTTTTTTGTTTGTATGATCGATTTACTTGTGGTACTGGAGGTCTATTAGTGTTGTACATAACTTGAGGTGGCGATCTTTTAGAAATGTTTTGAGTTCGTATTCTACAACATGGTTGACAGCATTGCGAAGACTGTCCATACATTTCTGATGTCGTGTATTGATTAGTTGCTGGTGAATAAGGGGCTGGATAATCAAGATTATAATATCTAGAATGAAAGCCATACAATTGTTCGAATCGATGATTTGAACTCCATGAGTGCGCCAAAGATGCACTGGGTTCTGTTGGTAAAAGTGAGTTTTGAATAGGGGTGACGACATTATGAGGAGGAATGTGTGCAGATGGGCAACTTGAGTTTTCGTAACTTATTTGACCATCTCTTAAACTGTTTAACATCACTCCTCAAATGAACAACAAACAAAAGCTATTAAAAATCAAATAAAAATTACAAAACTAACGTTTTAAATATCGTTTCTTAGTTTTTGTATTACATTTTTAACTATTTACAATTAATTTTTAATTAGAAATATTAATAACTAATATTTGATTTTTTAAAGTAAGCTAGAAAGTTATTGTTATATTGAAATGATGCTATCATTAAATCAGTTTCGTATAGAAATTTATAAATGAGTGTACCAATAACGGAAATGGTATTTCTGATATATTAATTTATTTTACTTTTTAGTTTAATTACATAGTTATAGTTATAAACATAGTTATTTTTACTGCATGGCAAAACTTTAATAATAGATAATACATTAGTAACACTTCGATGTACCTACAATTCGGTTTCTATGGAATAATCGATAAACATAATAACACAACTCTTTGAACAAACAAACAAAAATTAAACACAATATCTATAGACAATTTTTAAATCGAATTAAATTATACATTATGTTATTACAATTTATCTATTATACAGTGAAGTCTTATTTTCATTTCTATCAAGATTATTATTTTTTTACATTTGTTACAAATTGGAAAAAATAACAAGATAGGTTTGTTTTATAAATACGCTATCCACAATTATATAATTTTTAAATATTAATAATATAATTTAAAATAAGTAAATTTAAATAAAGGCAAAAAGGTTAATGATCAACTAATTACTATTTTTTATGAATGAAATCCATATATAAAATCATACTTTTAGATTGCATAAATTTTATTTATTTGTGATTATAATAATAATAATTATCTTATTACATATAAAAAACATTGAAAAATTAAAGAATGTTGGAAAAATGACTCAATGACAAACGATTTTCAATTTTTTTTTTTTTTGTTAAAGAGCTCGACGACGTTATTCTAGGAAAATCATTTGCGAAGATGAATATTCTGTAACAATTTTTTTGTTACAGGTTGGGTGGGTACTCTTACCGGAATAAGTGGTCTACCTAAGGCTGTAAGGACAACCCGAAGGTCCTAATGCATAGTAGGTGCGTGAGATCCGCAAGGCACCGGGTCTGGGACGAAGACCCAGCAACTAAATATTTTTTTATGAAAAAATTTAGTAAAAATAATGAAGTAAAATGTCGAAATTATAAAAATCGTTACCACAATAATTTGTTTTTTAGTTATAATATTTTTTTTAGTAATTACCATTTATAAAATAAAGGAACATTAATTTTTAATTATTTTAATGTAAAAGATAATAAGATACTATTACTACTTCTATTGTAAGCAATATTAAAGATAGATTACTATAATTTATTATATCAAATAAATGGTACTTGATTTAATGAGTATTAATAAATATAATTAAAAAAAAGTATTATCTCATTAATATTTATTTTTCTTAGACCTTTCTTAATGAACAAATATTTAATATTATAATCAATGTTATTCAATATGAACGTTTATTGGCTTCATCTTTAGATATTTACTAAGTATATAACTTTTAATAAACAGCTATCATTTAAGTTTATAGAGGTATGTTTATTTAATCAATCAAATATGCCTCAATTTTAAACACTCGAGTTAGATCATTTATTTTTAGGTTTCATATATTATTTTAATACTTGTTTAAAATAATGATACTTATGAAATCATAAACTAAAATAATATTTTTCGTGGATTATTTACGATTACTTATGTGTTTATTAAAAAAAAAAAACAAGATACCAAAAAAATTGTTTTCTATCAATTTAATGAGAATATAAATTATAAGACATACGTTTTTATTTTATTCACTGTAAGTTAAGTATAATCGATTATTTTAAACTCGTATTAATGTTGAATATGCTAATCAATATTTATTATGCTTAAGTAAAATAAAAAATTAATTCGTAAAGGTTATGAAATGAAGTTAACTCCTGAATTTTTGCATCATAAAATGATTTTAAATATGCCTAAAACAGACGAATATAAGCGAGATATATTTAAAACCACCAACTGTGACAGGCCTGTATAAAATTTTACCCTAAAGCATAATGTATTTATGATGTAAAAGACTACGTAACATATAAGCCGATACAAACTATTATTTTTGATACACATTCGGGATTCGATATTTTTAGTTATTTAAACATCTCAGGAATATTCTATTATTTTATCTTAAAATAAAGCCTAATTTTTGTATTAATAAAATTAATGAAAAAAAAAAAACATTATGTGATGTAACTTTATTATTTATATTTGTTATACATTATTAAAATTTATAAAACATTTTATAGCCAATTCCACCACAAAAGAAAAGGTGTTAAACTCAAAACAATACCACAGCAGATAATTGTGGAAATAATTTTAATTAGTTTAAAAGTACAAAAATAAAAATTATAGATAGAATAGATCCAACTCGAATATATTTTATGGAGATTTTTAACAAATATTAATTTCTTTATACAGAAATTTAATACTAAATAATAGACGACACAAATTATAAACTTAGTAAATTGATATGCTTAAATGTTTATATGATCGGAATAATCGATTAAATTAAAAAAAAAAAACTATTACTATTTTAACTATTGGAATTTCTATATACTTTTCATAATAATCATCTACAATACGATAGATACATTTGTACACGTTCTGATATAATCAAAATTTTCAATTCTTAATTAATTATAAAATAAAAAAACAAATTTCAAACATAAAATTCGTAATAAGATCTAAAATGGTGACCTAATCCTTTTTAAAAAGCTTGTATTTAGAAATATTTAAATCAAATTTTTTTTTTAACTCATACAATTTTATTTAATTTGTATAAAAACTGAAATAACAACTTTATTTGTAAAAACATTTTTTGGCTTTATATGATAGTCAAAATAATATTAACGCGATAAGATTTTGAATATTCAATTATTCATAATGTATGTTTTATGCAGATAGAATATTATAATATCATTCTAGGAATATTTGCGAAAAAACATATTTCATTTTAACAAAAAATTTTAAATCCTCAAAATAATTTATTATTTGTTGACTTTCTCGAAATATAAAATTGTGCAAAACACTAAAAATAAAATAGAACAATAGCCTAAATTTAATAAAATATGTTCTGATATAAATCGAATAAATAGTTTAAAGCTATAAAACAACTCCTTAGCAGTATTCATTTAATATAACAGTCGAAAATACATCCTAAATGATAAAAACTAACACAGGTGGCCATTTTCAAAGAATTAAATATTAAGATGAAAAAAAGCTTTCATAATATGGATGCGAAAAACAGTTGAACAACTGTAACTACTTAATGCTTTATAAGAAAAATTGAATATTTAACATATACACTTTAATTTAATGTCTACAAATAAAAATTTTAAAACCCAGTTAGACGAACTATAATTTTTATTTTTAATAGTTATTACTAATTAGCATAATTTGTTATATAATTTTTTTTGACCCATCATTATTACATAATTTTATTTGCAATCTACGGTTAGTTTTTTCACACCTAACCACTATGGCATCTATACATTTATTCTTTATCAGTTATGGGAGAGTACGATTTTCATATTGCAAGATCATAACTATATATATTTTAAAATTATATCATTTTACACAACAGAATTTAAAAATCTACAGTTACCAAAAGACATTTATACGTAATTTTAAACATATATTTGTCTCAAGTTAAATGTAACAAGATTACATCGATAATCAAGCACTTTTACACATCTATCAAGGAAAAAAATATTTTAAAGAAAAAAATTTATATAATTTGCTCAGGGCAACATTTTTTTATGAAGAGTTTACTAATAATCATTAATTGATTATAAATAAGAATAAACAAATTATTATTTTTTTTTTTTAAAGCTACTTCAAATTAATATTACTTAAAGATAACATTGAGTAAAAATTATAATTTCTCGAAATTCATTAAAAAAAAAAAAATTTGCTATATTACAATGGATACATTTTATAAAAAAGTTTTTGATAACCAAAAATTAAAAAAAAATTATTTATAGTAGTTATAAAGTGTAAATAGAATTATTGTTAATTTTAACTCAATACACTTATTTGGTAAATTCCTCTAAAAATAAATGTTACAATTGAAAACAGAATAAAAATATACCCTGATGAGAAGTTAAATAGTATTGTTTTAAGACTTTTATTAATTATTAATTAGTGGATGTAAATAGAAAATAAAATTTCTACCTCATAAAATAGTTTTTATTTCCAACTCTTCTTTTAACCTTTACACTAAAATACATTTTTAATTTAGTTAAATAAAATTTAGGTCTTTTGGTAATATTTATAATATATGAAACCTCCAGAAATATTGAAAATGTAAAAAATAGAAATAGTTAATTGTATAAATAAATATTTAAAGGCGAAAGTTAGGATTTTTTTTTAATTTTAGATTAATATCATTAAAAATTGATTTTTTTTTTAAATCTAAAATTAACAAGATTGGGAATGGCTTTTCTTTTTTGTAAATAACTAGGTAATTAATGATATACCACTTTGAAATTTTATAGATTTTAAAATTAACTTCAAATTCATATTGTATTTGTTAAAATAATTAACTTGATTATACTTTTTGAGAATATTAATTTTTCTTTGCATTACATTAAAAGATCTCCAAATCCATAAAATAAAAATAATTTCTAAATAATGTTTATAAAATACAAACAAGTAATTGAAAAAAAAATTGACTATGGAAAAATATTGTTATTAAAATCATCTGAAATTAGTATATAATTACAGGTAATTATGATAGTTTGCAATTAGCTAATAGAACATAGAAACTTTAACATATTTTTGGCATTTGTTCTCTATAATCAATAACATAACAAGTGACTTAAATAAAATAATGTAAAAAGTTAGTGTTATTCAAGTTTAAAAAGTTTTGTTTCTATAAATAAATATATTCATTATAATATATACAATGAATTTAACTTAGTATAGATTACACATTAATCGAAATGAATAATTAAGCAAAAAGTAAAAAATATGTAGACTTAATAAAAATTACATAAAATAAGATTACACAAGATATTTATTCTATTAACATATGGTATATCAGAATTATGCAAATACTAACGAAGCAAAATAATTATACACTTACCTATAATACTTGGTTAATGGTCATTCCAAAACGCATTCACTACGATTATGTGAATTCCAAAAGACTGTCATTTAGTTAAAACTGCCAAACAAGACATTTAGACTACAGTTAGAGCACGCCAGTACGTTAAAATGAAGTAGTGGGTTAAAAATTTTTAATGCAATAAATTGAGTTTGATAACAGTAACAATTAACCCTTTTGGTATTTGATTTTTGTCACATACAATCGGGCGTGCACACATACATACGACACACTACGAGGCCAATGATAAGAAACCGTTGTGGTCATGACGAAAAACAATAACACACGTACAATGTGTATCCCCCACCACTTTTTAAATATCAAAAGCACATCGGCGCTATCTACTAACATAACAAATAGTAGTAAAATAGTAATACCAAAAGAATTAATTCTTTATTTTTTGAAATTCCAAAAACGTATTATAATAATATTACACATACTTAAATCTAAAAAATTGGGAAATCTAATTAAAAAAAAAACCTTGCAAGTAGAATGTTATAATGAATAAAAATTATAACAACTTGATGAAAAAAAAAATCAATAACTACTAGAATTTATAGAATCATTTTCATAACATTACAACCCCTAATCCCATACCTAGTTGCGACATAGCTAAAAAGAATAAAAAGAAAACATCGGTGATTTTTAGATTAATATACAATTATATTTAAGGATTAAACATTTTAAAAATAATAAGTTTATATAAAACAAGTTAAAAAAAAATAAAAATTTTTCACCTAAAAATATCAATGAAAAGTTAATTTGTATCTCCAATGAAACTAAAAGCTTAATTAAAAGCAAGTATAAAGTAAAAAATGAGAATACACAGATAATATATTATTGAGTTTAATTTTTTATTAGTTAAATTGCAACATTTTAATTTACTCAATATTATCCATCCTACTGCAATTGCAAACATAAAACATATCTGATATTTAACATACTATATATTTTAATAAAAAATAAGATATATAAAAGATATACTAGTTAAAACAAATACTTTTTTTATAACCAAATGAAATATTGTTTAAAGTGTAACTAAATATTAATTTATGATCAAGAACATTCATTATAACAAAATTAGAAAAATCAAATTTGATATATATGCGAATAAATAATGAATAGTAGACATATTTGAAAATAAAAGTTTCAAAAGAAATACCGTATCATACTACACTGTATATAAGTGGTTTAATAAATTATTAATTTTTTTCTTGTTTATAATTTATGTAGCATCTATAGCATTGTATGTAAATTTGTAATTAATATTACAGCAAAATTAAATAAAACATGTTACCTTCATAATGCTACTTTTTAAACCAAAAAATATTTAATAAATTTAAATTTATTTCATTGCTTTTATCAAAAATATAAAAGATAGCATTAAAGTAAATGTAAAAGTCTATCTATAAAGAAAACCATTTATTACAGAATTTTAAATAATTTAATACACAAATCTTATACACATTTTATTTAACTTTTGGTTTAAATTATTTCTTTAAAATTCAGGAAATATAATACATATTTATATGCTAATTAATCAAGTCCTTCTTTCTTCTCGCGTAAGGCTTCCTAAAAAATAACATAATAGAAGTTTTAAATACATCACAATATTTTCATTGTATTATCATAATGTAATATGCAACTACATGTTTTCCAATGAAATCTTAATTTTTTTAATTTATCATTTAATTTACAGTTGAGTTTGTAGAGTTTATAATTAGTGATGGGAAATATCGAATAGTAACTATTGAATAATTTTATAGTTGTTCACTATTCGATAGTTTATGCTAAAAATAAACTATTTGGTTGTATAAAAACAATTTGAATAGATATTCGATAGTTTAAAATATTCGAAAATGCACATCACTATTTATAACTGAATGAAAATTTTTATTTTTTGATTTTATAATATGTTTTATTTTTTATTTTTATTTTAATGAACAAATCACTTAGCTATACAATACAATTTACCACTCTATATTAGTATCTTGGGTTAAAATTTATTGTCCAATACAATTTTATAAAATTTTAATATAATTAGAAGAACAACAAAATAAAAAAATTATTACAGAAAATGAGTTTCCTTAAGTTGAATAAAATGTATTTCTTTAAGTACATAAATGACCACACAAACAAGGATTAATGTTAAAAAAAAAAAAAAAATTTTTTTAAAGGTATAAAAATTAATAAATTATAGCATTTAATTAAATTTTATAAGAATAAATTATGGCAATGTTTTTTTATTAACATAACAATGTTCATAGGAAAGTTCACTAAAGAATTGAACTCATTCATATTCCGATTCAATGTGTAAAAAAGGAACTCATTCACAATAAAATTAATTTATTTGTCAAATGAATAGACTCATGTTCATTTAGACTATCATTAAAATGTTTTTTACTTATGAATAGTTTACCTACATAATTATCTTTTAACAAAATTGACTTAATTCAGACAAATTTATTTCATTACATAAAATATTTAAAGGTCAAACCTTGAGTGGTGTAATTAAGGTTAATTAGAAAAGTGCACATAAATAAGAAAAATTTTCACTACCTTAAATCAAAAAATAATATTGCATCATCATCATGTAAATATTAATGTTTTTGGGAAATCTATATATATATATATATATATACCCTACATAACAAAGCCACTAAAGATCTTAAAATAACATACTTTAATTTTAGGAATTCGATACATAATTAGGGTATCTTTTATAATAACTTCATATTTTACAAATTATTATTTTATTCATTTTTTTCGTCAAATAAAATATTAGAATTCTTGCAACTCAATAAGTATTTGTTCTAAAATTTGTTATAGACTCAATTTTTGTAAGAAAAATTCTAAAAATTGGCTATTTTATAATTTAAAATTATTTTTATTGTTAAAAAAAATACAGCAAAATGTTAATTGTATCAAAAGTTATATTAGTTGTCAGTTAAATCTGATATAATTAAATGTTTTTTCTTAGAATACAAATTAGAATTATAAATTATACAACAAATATATGATGAACAAAATTTTTATATTAATTTTTTTTTCTTGTTTGATTGCATAAAAACAAAAAGAATTTTTATGAATAAAAAAATGGTTTAAAAAGTCATTAGCGAGTTTCTATACCAAGTGTTATAATATATATATATATATTATATATTAATTACTAGTTATTTTTTTTGGCTAAGTATTACATTTGTGATATAACTTCTTAATTTTGTTGTAAAAAATACTGTTTTAAAAATTTTAACATAGTAAAGCTTATTAAAATATTTGTGAATAATCATAAGAAATCACAATTTACTTTTTAACTATTTGTTGTTCTATGCTAGAGTTTTCATGAAGCATTAACTAGAATCTTGGTTTATATTCTCTTTAAACCCTACAAATTCTTCTCATACTTTAAAGAAATTTAGAAAAAATATACAAAAAAATAAATGAACATCAATTTATGTTTCTATGTGTAGTTGGGATACTTTTTTAGTTATAGGTAATTTAATAGTAACATTTAAATAAATAAAAAAACAGCAACTAAATAAATGTTTTAACCATGACAGATTTCTAATTTTAAGATTTCCTGCTATTACGGCATCAAGCATAACTTTTTTCAAAGATTACATTGTACACTTTTTGATTAATTTATTCATTTGGATCTAGTTGATAGATAATCTGAATGATTACTGTTCATCATTCTTGCTAAGTAGACGTATTTATATTGAGATATAAATTACAGAGATTCTACATAGTACTTAACTCAAATTAATATTACTACATATATTCATATAATAGAAATGAATTACCTGTGGTTAATATAATTTATTAAAATAATAATTTAAAACTAAAAATGCTTAACTCAAAAAGTCACAAAAAAATACAATACATGTATTAGATTAAGCTGATTTTTTAAAATTAATATAATACAATTTTTTTTTTTTTGATACCTAATAAAAAATTGAAATAAATAATTCTTTATTTGAATATTCAAAAATATCCAAAACTATTTAAAATTAAGATGTAAAATTTAAATTTATCTAGGATTTTAATTAAACCATTCACTATAAGTTTTTTAAATAAATTTAAAAATGACAAAATATTAATTTGTAGATTATTAAACTTAGACATCACATATCTATTGAAAATTTTTATTAATTATCATTATGCCAAGAGTCTAAATACTTGCTTTCATACCAAACTGTTTTTTATATATCTTTCTTTTACATACATAGACTCAGATAATATTATTATCTATAATAAATGAAATGCTTTACCTTAAAACGTTCTTCAAATAATGAAAGTTCTGCTAATAGATCTGTTATAGCATTAGTTAGAGCATCTTGAGGAGTATAATCTGATGTTGTTTGAATTCGAAGTTCAAATTTATGTTCTAAAGGATGAGGTTGTTTATATCCAGCAAACAATACATTTGGATCCTTTAGTAACTGACTAAAAATTATTATGAATTAGAATAATTTATAAACTCATATTATTTTTTGCAATTTCTACTTTCTAATCATGTTTCCTAATGTATGATCTTCTTTATTTACAGTAAAAATTGCTGCATTTGTAACCTTAGTATCAACTTCTTTAACAATTCTTTAAAAATTACAAATATAGTTAATTAACATAGTAAAAAATTAAAAAACTGTATGAAATTTTAATAATAAAATGTTATTTTCGATAGACACATTACTTTTTTTCTCCGTCATATAATAAAAAGGATTCAAACGTTGGAGGTGCGTTCATTTTGCAAATCTAAGTAAATTAATTTAATCTAATAATTAATTTAATATAATTTAGTCTACATTAAATGCTTTTTTAGTAGTAAAAATGGTAAATAAATGTTGAAAATATTTAGTATAACTTATTTTAATATACTTAAGACCATAGACAAAACCTAAAATTCCAACAAACAAGCTGTATTATCAATATTACTATCAGTTTCAAAAATAAATCAAGGAGGATGAGGAACAATGAATTATTTTTTAAAAAATAGTGCGACTATGATCTAGTGCAATAATGATTGGTTTTCTCATTCAAAATTTGTTTTAAATCTGTAAGTGGTCGGTGAGGTTTCATAAATATTTTTTTTAGTTTTGGTGATAAGGTATGACCACGATTATAGTTTGTACTTTTTTATTGAGGTTGTATGGTACTTGGGTTTTAAAAGTAAAATATTATGTTTTGGTCAACACAGTTAATAAAAATGACATTTATCGACGTTTTACTCGCGGATTAACACAATAAGAGTATGATTAATTTTTCACTTTTTAAATTTTAAATTAATGTAATAATTGAGATTAATGTTTGTGAAATTTTGATCTTTAATGGTATGGTTTTATTCAAGTTCCAATATTCATATAAAGTATCAAACTTTCTTCTTAAAAATAATTTAAATTTACAGAGTAAAAATAATAGTCACCCATACAATTACTATTCACTTTGTTTTTAAAAAGAAATGGAAACAGATTTAAAAAAAATGTCATTTTATAAAAAAGTGATTATAAACTTCAAATTGGAATATAATTAAGAAAAGGATCATAATTTACTTTTCGCTATTTTTCAGGAGTTAAAAAACAAAATATTTTTAGTAAATATTATATGCAACCAACTAAATTCAAAAAACAATATATTGAATGCAAACAACAGTTAGACCAGTTGATAGGGTAAAAATGCTCATAATTTAAAAAAAATATGAAGTTATTTGTACACCTCTCTTCAAAGGTTGATTAGATTTAAAATTAAAAATGTTTAATACATATGTTTTTACTGTGTAAAACATAATTTTGCAGTAAATAATACTGTTATTTCAAAGGGTACGAAGTCANCAAAAAAAATATGAAGTTATTTGTACACCTCTCTTCAAAGGTTGATTAGATTTAAAATTAAAAATGTTTTATGATAAAATGTTTAATACATATGTTTTTACTGTGTAAAACATAATTTTGCAGTAAATAATACTGTTATTTCAAAGGGTACGAAGTCATACCACTAAAGGAAATATGGAATTGTTTTCATTTCAAGAGTCAACATTTTATAACAAATTTTTACCCTTCTCTTACACACCGAGTAATAATATTTGTTACAAATTTATTTTTGTCTAATTAATATAGATACGAAAATTGACAGTTTTCAATATGTGATAAAGGATTAAGTCATAATTTACTTTGAACTGTTTTAAAAGAAAAGATATTGCTATAGTAAATTTTATAACTGAGAATAAGGTTATTTAGTAATAATCTAACAATATGATTATTTTAACTCTTTTAAAAAATCCTCAACTTAAACCAATTGTAATAATTTTTAGGTCGGCATGGCCTAGTAAATAGATATGTGTTTTTGGCACAGTGTATCAACGAGATTTTTCTTGTGATTTTCTCATAGATGGTGGTGTCTGGTATCTGGTGCAAGCCAGACATAATACCCGTCCTGTTCATCTTCGACTCCTTAACATGTGAAAAAGGGCCACCACCCTCCATAGCATGTCAAGTTCGGGAAATAGAACAATGTAAAACTGATTATTATAGTGTATAACCACTAGTTTAGTTTTAAAAAAATATTTAAATATTCGGTAACTTTAAGAAAGATAAAAAACATATTACAATTATATTTAGATAGAATTTTATACTTAGAATTTTTAAGGATATTTAGCATAAATTGAATAGGAGTTTTACAAAGTAAATTACAGTTTAATAAGCTACAACATAATACAATTATTATTAAAATTTATAATATGACAAGTTAAAATTACATTATACACATGAACATAAAAAAAATATATATGATTATAGAGATTTATAACTGTGAATAAAATTATTTTAACTATAAAACAAAAATTTTCAACTGCTAATAATATAACAAAAATTATCCCAATAAAATTTTATACTCTCAAATTGATTGAGAATTTATAAATTGAATACATATCAACTAATAAATACATAACACACTTCCCACTTTTAATATTGGCTAATATTTAATGACCTAGGTTAAACTGTTAAAATGAAGTTAAAGAAATGCTGAAAAAAATTTCACATTAAATATATGGGACTCACTAAATTGATAAAAAAAATCTAATAAAGAAACATTTTATATTTATTTTAACATTCTATAATATAATAATTAATACTAAATAATGTTAAACGGAGATCATTATACAATTTTTTTAAATGCTGGTCACTATTTATACTACACTAAAAAATAGAACTGGCTTGCATAAAAAGCCTATGTATTTAGCACATTTACAAATTCACATACACAATGGCGCATAAATAAGTATATAGCACATACAATTAGTAGTATGTAACAAAATTTAATAATTTAAAGTTTCTCTATATAAAAAAAAAAAAATTAATAATAAAACATGCTTAAAATACTATACAAAAAAAAAAAAAAAAAAATTAAAATTACCAGCTAAATGAGACTAGAATACAAAAGGATAATATTATTCGTTAAGTCGATAGAGAAAGTTTTGTTTGCTAGAAGACATAATGGGATTTTATTATTTTACTATTAATAGAAAAAAATACTTTTGGCTTTATAAAAACATAATTTGTACAGAAATTTCAATATTACCATTGTGAATTAAAAACAGCAAGAAAGTACCGTGTTAAAAAATTTAAAGAAAATTGGATTTTACGGTTGCATAAATAACAGTAATTCTTGATAAATTAATTTTGTTAAAAAGGAACACCAACTAAATCAAACTAGATTGATTTTTTTGAAAGTTACATTTTTTACAAGAGATCACTTCATAAATAGTCAATTATCTACAATATGTTTACAGATTCTCTTTTGATATAATGTGTTTTTGTTTAAGAATCAACTATATCAAAACACTTTAAAAGAATATTAATATTGCACATTTCAATAAAAACAAAGGTCATCAAGACAACTTGAAATATTTTGTAATAAAATGCTTGACGTCTGTGTTAGCATAGAAATTAAAATTGAATTCAATACTTATTGTAAGGGCATACATTTTAATAAAAATAATCTCACTGATAGTGGCAGTTGATGCACACTTGTTTACTTATAACTACATGATGGTTTACAATCATCAGAGTGCACTGGTTTTTTTTTGCCACTCCAAGGTGGTGTGAGTAGATTTGTAGGTGTGACAGGTCCTTTGTTAATTCTAGATTGTTGAATCAACTCAAATCTGCTTTGAGCCAAATCCTAAGAAAATAAAAGATATTTATCACATATATATATAATTTTTATAAACATAAAACTTATTAATGTAACAATGTAAATATTTTTTAGTTAATACTTACATACATATCCATACTGACTAAATGTTGCTGTTTGACATGAGTACCATCAACTTGTTCAGAATCTCCTTCAAAATCAATTTCTTCATATTGGTATTCTTCAAGAATTACACTCCAGTAAACTGACATCCATTCAACACAATTACTAACATTTCCTTCAGATAGACCTGAAAAAAAAAATTCAAATTTATAATTGCATTTGTCAAAAAGATTAAATATTTTATTTGTAAAAAAAGTACCTACCAGAAATTGTGAGAGCAATTTTTTTATTGAGAACTATTGTAAGGGCAGATGCTGCTAGTTCACTATAGGAATAACGTAAACTATTGGAATCTAATGATGCCAAATCTAAAAGATGAGATACTTGATTGAAAAGATTCTGTGGAAACTGTGGTAAAGTAAGACTATCTTCAGCAGCACTATCATCAACACAGATGAATTGCAACATTAATTCAACCCAGTAGTTAATAGATATAGGAGTTAAACGAAAATGCAAGTTCATCAATAGAATTTTTTCCATATCCAAAAGATCTGAATCAGTACAAGCTCCATCAGTAACATAAGCAAATTCAGCTAATTTTGGTGGATATATCTCTTCCATTTTAGCTGCCATGAATAAACAAGTGATTCCTATGAGTTGTAATTTTTGTTTTGGAATGGAATCACTGTTTGAAAGATATCTATCTAAATAATCCATGGCCAAATAGTATGTTTCTCTATGTAGTTTATAAACAGATGATACTTCAATTAACCAATCTAGTAAAATTGCTCTCATTCGAGGCATAATAAACTCTTGATATTCTGGAAAATCAGGATTTCTATAAGTAAGTGTAGCAGCATCTCGATCACATAACATCTGCCAATAAGCTGCACGTTTGCCCCAAGGTATCTCAGGTAAAGGACATGGTCTCTCATTTAGTGGTATTGGCTTGTGGTTAATAGCCATATCCCTGAATCTAAATTAAAATATCAAGATTACTTTTATATACTTAAAAGAAAATTTTTTATTTCAGTGAAATTACCTGCTCCATGAAATGAACATGTTACTTCCATAATTTTCAAATGTTGATGAACGAGGAGTTGGTACATAAGCTGGGGGATCATTTTCAACATTTTTCTTTGGTTCAGAGCTGTTAATACAGTCAGGGCTTAGTTCATTATCAGACAATAATGGAGTAGGATCACTTAGAGTAGGGCTACTAACATCTGTTTCAGACCTAAATATAATAACAAAATCAAATAAGTATAAAAGTAAACAATTATTTTTTGAACACCTTCTAGTAAATTAATATAAAATTACCTATCATCAGAATGATGGGTAGAGTTTGAATCAGGAGACAACACTTGTAATTCTGACAACGGCCTTCTTTCCAAACTTCCATTATTACTGTTCATTAAATATTGAAAAGTTTCATTGTTTTCTGAGTTAGTATTCAATTGATATGAATCTGATTCAGCTCGTACTCTTGTATTCCGTAAATTAGAAAAAGATTGATATTCTGCTCCTTCCAATGGTAAGGGCTGAGATATACTATGCAGTTTAGATCTAGAAAGAATATTTGGTAACTCAACTGGACTATGCTCCAGTCTCATTCTTTTGTTTAACATTCCTACATTTTGAAGATAACTTTCCGAATTCTACAAAAAAAAATATATTTTCATTAAAATTGCAGTAGTGTTATAAAAACAATTTTCATAAATATATTAACAAAAGGAATTTAATCTTTAAATAAACATATGCTAAAATAGATTATATTAATTATTATCTTGCCACTTATAATACAAAAATTAGGCTTAGCCCCCATTAAATAATTACCATACCAAAAATATTATTCTTATTGTGCCTATATATTTTAGTACATGTAATTAACTAAAATATAAATAAAATAAATAAGTAATATCTTCTTAAAATTCTGTTATACAATAAAAAAAAAAAAAACTTCTAATAATTTTATTTATGAACATAACAATTAAATAATGTAATAAAATTACATAATTTTTTATTATAGATCCTTTTTCAATAATAGAAAGTATTAAGTTGAGCTATGAAATTTTTTTTATTGAATAAATTATAATCAAATTACTGTAAAATTTAGCCTATGAACCAAAATAATTTTTAGTTTTTGACTATTTTTCTTATATCTAGTAAATCAGTTAACTGATGTTTTATACTCTCTAATATATTAATAATTGTTCCAATAGTTCTAGGTTAGTAAGTATTCATTACACATAAAGGTTATCTGTTATATATATATTAGGAATTTTATTTTTATATAATTAAAAATTCATAATACAAATTACTTATGGATTTTGTATTTCTAGTATATGTGATATATTATGGATATATTTTTAGATATCCATGTAACATGAAATATGCGGTTAATAATATATTGATTGGATATACAAATTACTGTATAAATAAAATATACAACAACACCCAATAAATATTTTGGATATTCATAAAAAAATCCATTAGTTGTCCTAGTGTTTTGTTGGTTTATCTGTATTGAATTTTTTCGTACATGTTGAAAGTGATTACAGAAACAAAAAAACTAGAAGACTGATTTTTAAACCTTAAATAAACTTCATATTTAACTGTAAAAAGTTTTATAAGCGATTTTAGAACAAAAGTGGAGGTTAAATGACTTTGCCATGGAAAGATAAAAAACTTTTATGACAAAAAATTTTGTGAGCAGTGTAATCTCATATCTCGGAGCTCTTTTATTTTATTAAATTTATCAGGATGTTATTGTGAACTAATAATATAAAAAAATAAATAGGAAATTTCAATAAGGTTATCCCTGAAATCCCTTCATATTTGAAAGCCATTGCTAATACGGTTTTTACAATTATTAACCTTATAAATTTCAAAAATTTGTAAAGGGGTGTATGATTGGTAATGTGGCAGTGTTTGAGACACACACTATCTTGGGTTTGAAACTCTGTCACAAGTGGCTTCATTTGTTGAGTGAGGGTGGGTAGCCTCAAGATAGAGGTGAGGAAAAAGAAAGAAAAAAATATAATCTTCAATCATGAAATATTTCTCTGTTCATTCCTTAAAACTTTATTTTTTTAAATTATCACATAAATAATTAGCCTGTTTATATATTTGATAATAATCAAATTGAGATAATTACTGGTCACAAACAATTCCAGTATTTCAGAAATTATCAATAATTTTAAGTAAAAAAGGAATCGAGGCAATAGTACTGGCCATTTTTATAATTAATAGATATGAAATTATTGATACTTTATATATGTTTCACTTGAAAAAATAAAATTTATACTCTTATAAGGTTTCAGTAATACATAAAAAAATAATTTATGGTTAATAAATTGAGAAAAACATGTAATAAAAAAACCAAAACAAATTATCAATATTATATTATTTTGATTAAATAAGGGGGTTTATGATAAAAGAATCACTATAATATCTAGGTATTTATATGATAAAAAAAATATTTTATTAATAATTAACTACATAAAGATTGATTTTATCCAATTAAAAAATTAATGGTAAAAAAATGGTATAGAAATTAAATTTATACAATTAATAAATGTATTTCTTGTTTTAGATTTACATGATAATATGTAGTAAAATATAATATTTTATTTCGTGTAATAACTATATTAATGCAAATGCTTAAATGTCCAAGCATTAATCCCCAAAATTTAATAACAAAATTTCCAAGGCTATGTATAAAAGTTACTTAAAAACTTACATGTCTTTTTCTTTTCAACACTGCTTCATTTTTTGATGAAGTGGAGTCATTCATGGTAAAAGACTAGCTACAAAACGAACACAAATCTGTAATAGCAAAATATTTATCTTAAAAAAAATCATAAGATTCAATAAAAACTTATTAGATTTCATAATGTTATAACACATGATTCTTCATTTAATAAAGAATAATTTAAACTAAAAAAAAATGTTTATCTAGAATTTTTAACTTAAATGTATAGAATAATAACTTACAATACTGTGAAACTCATGATGAAATTAATACACTAAATTTAATTTTATAGTCTAAAAACTAGTATGATTAAAAATTGAAAATACGACACTACATCTACTCAATTAATAAATTTCACACTCAGTTTTAAAAAATATATTTTATACCTCATTTAATGAATTTATAAAATAACTTCTTTATAAGTACTGCCAGAAAGACGTTAACTAGCAACTGGGAAAAAAAAATTTATAATGGTAGTAAACAGAAATTCATGATGAAATTTACAGACCGACCTACGAATGCATTATGATCTATGTCAAAAAAAAAAAAGATTAAAAAGATGCCGTGTATATCAAAACAAACTCTGGGCGGGCTTTTTAACGCGCGATCACAGTGTGGTGTTGTATGGTACGTAGATGACGCGAGAACGGGCGCCAAAAATGCTTTACCTACCAGTTGTCTTCCAAGTAGAAATTTAGTATTATCAGAAATTAAAAATATAACTTAGAATAACTTAAAATAAAAATGATCATTTATCAGATAAAGTCATCAATAATTAAGAACTGTTAGGGTCATAATTATAAAACCTTTGTTTGCTTAGTAGTAACCGGGAAATTCTACAAAATTATTTGTTTCACTTTCAAGATTAATTCGCTAAAAGCACTGTTGACGGACAAACATTCTGAAAACCTAAATTCCTAAAAACCTAATTCACTTACATGTGGTCGTTGCAACGTCAAGTCCCTTGTCGGAGGGACGACAAAGAGCACGAGTTTTGAGTAAACTAATGATTTACTAAATACCGCACTCACTTTAAGGCTACGCACAATTATGAAGTATCAACAATCGCGATTGTATACAATTGTAAATGTAATTAATGTCATACATATGAACACAAACAATTTTTTTCTTGGTAAATAAATATTAGCGGTTACTCAGAGTACTAGAAGGGTAGGCCGTAAACATAAGTACCAAGATTCACGGTTGACGAGCGACTGGTAGCAATGCCAGCGCACAAACGAGGAGACAATGATCCCGACGGGGGCCGCCACTAGACGGAACCGGTTTACTGGCAGAGCGGTTAGAGCGGGGTGAGTGTCGATGGAATGCTAGCTTCCTTTGCGCGCGCGCGGGCGCTTTGTTGACAAAACGATCAGCTGATCGTTCGTTCAACAGCTGATCGTCTGGCGCCGTGTTTCTACCGCCGTCTACCTATGTACCGATCCCGCGTAAACATAACAAACCCGCGGCGTCCGGACGCCGTCGTGGCCGACCGTATACCGCCAAAACAAAACCGATAAGATAACAACAACATTAGAGGTCAATATGTTATTTTTCATTTTTGTAATTTTAATACAGCACTTGAACAATATTTTACTAGTGCACATCCAGATAACAAAACACGTGTAAATAGGTTAACGCTGCAAGTGTAACAATGTGCAATGCCAAAAGTAATAAATTTGAAATATATTGTCATAATCAAATGGAATTGAAAATTATGCTTTTAACAGTCTTAACAACAAAAAATAATTAAGCGTCATACACATTAAGGTTAAAATATCGATAGTATTTTGTCTTAGTAAAATATTGTTGAAATTTGTTTACATGTGTCAAACGTAAGCATTTATGAAATAATAACGCAACACAAATAACAATAATAACGAGAATAGACCAATATGGATCCCTACTACTGCAAAGAAACAACGAAAACGTGTTTTAAGGTTCATGTCTATAATGAGCAATCAAAAAGAAATTACCAACATGGTTTTTGATACAGAAAAACTGCAGTTATTTAGTAACATTATCGATAATTTATAAATATATCACTAACAGAAAGATGTATGAAAATAAGTACAGTCAAATAAATATTCGAACAAGGTCTAGAAAAAACAACAATTTGCCACTCGAATTGCTATAGTTTAACACATTTTTAAGTATGGTTTAATCACTCGTTCAAACATTTTTCTAATGGTGTTGGCCATCATTAAAAGTCTGTAAGACAATGGCAATTCGAGAGGCAAATCATTTATATTTTAGACCATGTCCGAATATTTACAGGCACATCGTAACAGTATAAAACGCAACAAAATATTTTTTTAATTAATTTATTGTAATCATGGAAAGTAACGATAATTAAAGAAAAATTTGGAAATTTCATATCATAAAAAAATTTCCCACAACTTCAGCTTTTTAGTTTTTCTGCGTTTATTAAACTTTATAGCTTATTTAGACGATAATCAAAATGTCTTAATTGTACTTACTGGTAAAACTTAGTAACTTAGTTGTATTAGGATTTTAAAATAATCGTTTTATACAATAATGCAGAATTACAATAATAAACATTTTTTATAAAAAAATTATTTCCTAAAAAAAGATCTTCGATAAATATCAAATCCCTTTTAAAGAAATGCCAACTTTCAGTAAAATGAATAGTAATAATTAAGATACATCACATATGCAATGACGAAACGAGAAGTGGGAAAAACAATAGAATATTGTAGACATTTCAAAATATTAAACCGAATTTATCATTGCCTTAATTCAATCATGTATAAACTTGTGATGAATTCTTTTGACAAAAATTATAATGAATTCACCTAGTGAATGATGTTCGATATATAAGACAATGTACTGAGCAGAATGATCTTCTAGCAGCGCAATGTGTCGCATATTCATAAATCAAAAAGTAAATTCAACCGAGGTGTTGTGAACAATTTTCATGGTTACAACCCAACCGTCTAAAAGGCGCCTGTCAGCTAAGATACTTTTCTTCTGGACTACAGTGTCTATTTGAAAACGATTTTCCCATCGACACTCTATGAGCGTAAAAGAACCCCCAATGAGAACATATACGACTGCTAAATGATCTGTAGAAAAAAAAAACAGATACAAACTACCATAAATATCAATAAGCATCAATTTGGATTCACCTGTTGCCAGGGAGCGGCATTTTTTTCTTCCTCTAATACATATAAAAGAATAAAGAGGCGGCAAATATGAACGCGTTGTGTATGTGGGTATGGTGCCTAAATGCATGTAGTACTTGGACGCAGTCAAGAGAGTTGCCGTGACGGCAGCGGCGGTGGCCACCAGCAGCATTCCATTTTCCAATGTTGTGGTTGGCGCCAATTGGTCTTTGTACAAAAGGGATGATTATTTCAAGGACGACGCAGTTCAGGAACCGTGTAACACACGATTCCTGCGCTTATATTGGCCCTTTGTCCTAATATTCGACGGTAAAGAAATATTGTGTGTATTTTGCGTAGTACAGTTTAATTCTCATGATGTATTGGCGCAAAAGCATTACACTGTTGCATGTCCACTGCACATAATAAAGGAACTGTTGTAACACATGCACGCTAACTGTAATTACTGCAACTTGCGTTTAATTAACGTGTGCGAGTAAGAGCACCGGCTAACTACCGACCACCAGAAGGATGTCCGTTCGACGATCAACGCACCGTGACACACGGGGGTAGTTGTCTTGGAGACACCCGAATAAAGGGTAAACGCGGGTGGGCGGCAGTGGTGACAGGTGTTGAGAATTTGGAAGCGGAACGAAACCGCGATCTTGAAAAAATACAGCACTTGATCATGATATCCAGGGGACTTTAACCCTTTGCCGGAATTCAATTAGAATACACACCAGACGTGCAACAATAGTATTTAAAAAGTGAACAGAATGCGAGTCCGGACAAACAGAATATCCGAAACGTGCGCTTCGTATGGCTCGACTAGTTTCGAGCGATGCAGCAACGTCGCTTTTTTCGAGACCTTGAACAGAGTATTTTGCATTGAGTGCCAAACACGACGCGGACGTTTTTAATTGAAAATTGTGTAATAAAAAACTGTTTGAAAACAGTTGTTGGCACTTGATAGGCAGGCAATGCAAATATCCGACAACTGCTATGCTTTAAACATTTATAAGGTGGTCAAACGAGTCTCTAAAGGGCAATGGCACACGGATTATTTATTAATAATTTTATTGATCTGCACGTGGTAATATACACACCAGTGAATGGAAGCAAAAAATATAAAATTATTCAAAACGATTAAACGATCAAGTTTACGGGCATGTATTCTTCTCACGGAAAACGAAAAAGAACATTATTCGATTACTATTCATTTGGACACGGTCCGCAAGTATGTGTAATAAAACACGAAACGTGCGCATATTACAGACCAACACATGTTACATCCGAAAAACGTCCAAGATTCGCGTGACTTGGCATCGTGGGAGATGTTTGCCCCCTGCACGAGTGAATCTCTCATCTCATTATGATTACTTCATCATTGAAAGTTATCGAAGCAATCTAAAGTCATTAATTATCATGAATTTTATGTAAACGTTGACTTTGTCTATATCAAATTATAAATTAAATGTTTGTAAAAATTATAGAGCACAGTAGTAAAAAATCAACATTTATTACAATAACCTATCGACCGAATAAGTAAAATAATAATTCGGAAAAATATTCTACTATTAATTAAGAACTTGATTAATAATTAATGGTCTTTTTTTAAATATTTTATTTTTTACAAAAAAACATCTAAATGTATTTCAAATGATAAACACCAATTCTCAATTTTATACATATAAATAGGCTTTTATTAACGTTATTACCATGTATAGATCATGACAAATTAATAAACAAATAAATAAATAAAAATCATTGTGTTCTAGTCCAAAGATCGTAATGGTTAATTACTAAATCGAAAACGTACAATTAATTTTTTATCATCACTAAACCAATATAATATTACAGTTCTGAACAACGAAACTTATCATAAATGATGAAACGCTTGGATTCATAAACGCATTTACTACAAATTTTAGTACTTGAGTTACAAATATTTTCAATCTTAAGTTTATAATAAGGTTAAATATATGTATATCGCATTTCAGTCTGTTTTATGTAGCGACCTTCAATAAAAAAAAAAAAGTAAAAAATGACTACAAAAAATTGAATCAAAGGTGAACAGTGATTATGAAATATTAAGTTAAAATAAAAAGAAAATTTAATTCACCGTATGAATTAAAATGTAGTTAAAAATGTTGCATTTTTTAGATAGGCCTCGCTAACTCATTATAGTATGTGTGTTATTTGCATAGCATTTACACAAACCGGGTAGATCGAAAAACTGACCTCCGCACTGACATGTAAAAACACAAATTTTGTATCGATTGTTTGTTGCTTCAGGTCTTACAAGGAAAACAACATGCTTTCAGTAATGTTATGTTATAAGAAATATCTTTTTTAGTAAGTTATACTATACCCTGTGATTAGAAACAAAATATACATAAAATAACGAAAATAACAAATAAGAAAGTAGAGCAACAGATTACGTCGCAATATTGGTAATATATAACACAACACAAAATATTGACACACGACAATAAAGTCTTCGATAAATACAAGCGCCAAATATTTTTTTACATACATCATGTTAGTTAAAAACTCAAGCGAACACGATGGCTATTACAGATAATTTTTTCTACTGTCACGCGTCATATTTTACAAGCGGAAGGTCAGCGAATAAGGTCACACTGAAAACGAAGTCCTGATGAATTTCGTATTGTTTTTTCATTATTATTATTAAATAAACTACATTTCAGTAGTATTCACCAAATCAAATGTATGTCAGTCAGGCGGATTGAAATGTAATGAAAATAATTTTAAAAAATCGTAAGTTAACGGAAACATTGTGTACCTAACATATTATAATCGAAAATAGAAAACGCATTAAAATTAAAACTAATATTAGTAAGCGGGTTATCATTCAAACATTACCTACATTTAATATATATCTAGTTAAGATAAAAATATATAAAACCGAAATGAAAAAATCTAGTTAACAAGATGAAAATTGATTTTTATTTTATCATTATTCTCGACTAAATTCTTAGAGGTTATATCAAAGATAATATTTTAAATTATTAACACATTATAATTCATCTATCTGCTATATAGTGACTATTTGACCTTTTTATATGTATTTTAATGCA